CAAGGGGCAGCTGTCCTGCGAATTGATGTGGTTCACATGTGATTTTGAGATGTGAGTTTACTTCTGTGACTGATCTCTGTTTCCTGATGTAAATCCATTGTCAATTACGATGAATGCTGGTCGCCGACCCGCACGATAAAAAAAAAAAAACACAACCGCTCCCATTGCTGACACTTGCCGACCTACAACTCTTTCATTACGCCCACAAACACAAGTGCTCCCACCACTGACACTCACCAACTGACAGCTGTTTTTTTCCCCCACTGGGTGACCCCGCCCCCATGTTTATTTAGTGACCTGGAGGGAAATAACTTTCAGTCAACGAGTGTCAGCAGTGGGAGCAGTCATGTTCAGCACATGCCCTTTTTTTCGTATGGGTTGGCAGCCAGTGTTGAGCATGATTGACTACTATTCCATATTCACTCACATGGGGGACTGGGATCGGGCGGCCCCTTGTCAAAGGGGGCTTCCAGATTTAGATAAGTTACCCCTGTACCCCCACAGTTACCCCTGTACCCCCACAATTACTGGACCAGGGTTGTGGGGAACAGGCCTTTGTCCTCATCAAGATGGGTACACATTCTTTGGGGGGGGCACCCAAAACACCTCCTTCCATGTTGAGGGCATGCGGCCTGGTATGGTTCAGGAGGGGGGAAGCTTGTTCATCTCCCCCTTTCCTGGGCTGCCAGGCTGCATGTTTGGATAAGGGCCTGGTATGGAAATTGAGCGGGACCTCCTTTTTTGGTGTTTGTTCCCCCTTAAAATCCATACCAGACCTGAAGGGATTTACAAATCTTCTGGCTAGTAAAAGGGAGTTTGCAACTTAACTTTGACTGGTTGTAAACCCTCACATATACCCAGTGAAGTGAATGACCTCAGGTGATACACAGAGATTAAATAAATCCTCCTACATACGTTGTACCTGTTTATCTACAGTATTCTTTCCACTACATCCATTCAAAGTGCAGAATTTACAAAGGATCTCTCAGCTCTGAAAATTAGGGGGCATGGAACTGAAGTTACAGTCAGGTCCATAAATATTGGGACATCAACACAATTCTAACATTTTTGGCTCTATACACCACCACAATGGATTTGAAATTAAAGGAACAAGGTGTGCTTTAACTGCAGACTGTCAGCTTTAATTTGAGGGTATTTACATACAAATCAGGTGAACGGTGTAGGAATTACAACAGTTCGCATATGTGCCTCCCACTTGTTAAGGGACCAAAAGTAATGGGACAATTGGCTTCTCAGCTGTTCCATGGCCAGGTGTGTGTTATTTCCTCATTATCCCAATTACAATGAGCAGATAAAAGGTCCAGAGTTCATTTCAAGTGTGCTATTTGTATTTGGAATCTGTTGCTGTCAATTCTCAAGTTGAGATCCAAAGAGCTGTCGCTATCAGTGAAGCAAGCCATCATTAGGCTGAAAAAACAAAACAAACCCATCAGAGAGATAGCAAAAATATTAGGCGTGGCCAAAACAACTGTTTGGAACATTCTTAAAAAGAAGGAATGCACCGGTGAGCTCAGCAACACCAAAAGACCCGGAAGACCACGGAAAACAACTGTGGTGGATGAGCGAAGAATTCTTTCCCTGGTGAAGAAAACACCCTTCACAACAGTTGGCCAGATCAAGAACACTCTCCAGGAGGTAGGTGTATGTGTGTCAAAGTCAACAATCAAGAGAAGACTTCACCAGAGTGAATACAGAGGGTACACCACAAGATGTAAACCATTGGTGAGCCTCAAAAACAGGAAGGCCAGATTAGAGTTTGCCAAACGACATCTAAAAAAAGCCTTCACGGTTCTGGAACAACATCCTATGGACAGATGAGACCAAGATCAACTTGTACCAGAGTGATGGGGAAGAGAAGAGTATGGAGAAGGAAAGGAACTGCTCATGATCCTAAGCATACCACCTCATCAGTGAAGCATGGTGGTGGTAGTGTCATGGCGTGGGCATGTATGGCTGCCAATGGAACTGCTTCTCTTGTATTTATTGATGATGTGACTGCTGACAAAAGCAGCAGGATGAATTCTGAAGTGTTTCGGGGCAATATTATCTGCTCATATTCAGCCAAATGCTTCACAACTCATTGGACGCCGCTTCACAGTGCAGATGGACAATGACCCAAAGCATACTGCAAAAAGCAACCAAAGAGTTTTTTAAGGGAAAGAAGTGGAATGTTATGCAATGGCCAAGTCAATCACCTGACCTGAATCCGATTGAGCATGCATTTCACTTGCTGAAGACAAAACTGAAGGGAAAATGCCCCAAGAACAAGCAGGAACTGAAGACAGTTGCAGTAAAGGCCTGGCAGAGCATCACCAGGGATGAAACCCAGCGTCTGGTGATGTCTATGCGTTCCAGACTTCAGGCTGTAATTGACTGCAAAGTATTTGCAACCAAGTATTAAAAAGTGAAAGTTTGATTTATGATTATTATTATGTCCCATTACTTTTGGTCCCTAAACAAGTGGGAGGCACATATGCAAACTGTTGTAATTCCTACACCGTTCACCTGATTTGGATGTAAATACCCTCAAATTAAAGCTGACAGTCTGCAGTTAAAGCATATCTTGTTTGTTTCATTTCAAATGCATTGTGGTGGTGTGTATAGAGCCAAAAATGTTAGAATTGTGTCGATGTCCCAATATTTATGGACCTGACTGTATATTAGTGAGGGAAGGGACACACCTCCCTTCACACAGCACGCAGGAACAAAGTTGAGACTGTCAAGCAGAGGTTGTTCCCTCCCCTGCCATCATTGTTCTCTTGGTGTCAGGAAAAACTGCAGAAAAGGCAGAAGTGACTCATGCTTATTGCAGACAAACGAGGCAGCAGACAGAAATGACACTGAATGCTCTGGATAGAGACAAGTACACAGTATGGAGGGATATGCTTTATTCATATTTCATGTCTGAGGTTTATAACCACTTTAAGATTTCTGGGTAACATTTTGATAGTTTTGCTATCACATCTTTTAAAGATTACAGTCATGAATGACATTTATGAGTGGAAGCCATAACGGGTATTGTTTTTTTCCTTCACAGGTATGTCTAACCCTAACCGCCAAACGAATGGCTCGCAAAAACTGCCTAGTGAAGAACTTGGAAGCTGTAGAAACCTTGGGGTCTACATCTACCATCTGCTCTGATAAGACCGGAACACTGACACAAAACCGTATGACGGTGGCTCATATGTGGTTTGATAACCAGATCCATGAGGCGGACACCACAGAGGACCAGTCAGGTCTGGGAGTCTTAGGCAGCATTGAGCCTTTCTACAGTGTAACCCTGTCTTTCTCAACCTTTTTATCACAGAGGAAACTTTGAAATAACTTTCTGGTCTCAGGGACCCCTTGCTAATACTTACCATATTTACGGCTCACTGTACTTTAGTGTGATGGCCACTGGGAAAAATGTTCCTTACATTTATGGTCATAGGGAGGAATCTCCTGTTTACAGATAGCTAAATAGACCTGTAGCACTACCCCCTTAGGAGTCGCTGAAGATATGGGTCCCCCTATAGTCCTGCACAGTCAGGCAACGCGCATTTTCCGCAGACTTGCATTCCAGAGATAGTAAACAGTCCTTGAACTTATTTTTGGGGATTTTTTTAGGGATAATATACTTGGATGGGGTTGAGGGATACATGGGATGCCCAAGGAACTGTAAACTGAGGACAATTTCCTGGCAACTATTTCCAAATCTTTACACAGCAAAACTCTTCTGGGAGAGATCTCTAGCCTCTCCTGATGTAACACCCCAGACCCCAGATAAATCCTCTTCTTTACCCAGCTGTCTGAAGGTATCTCTGGGTAAGGTGATCCAGTACCTGCTACTTTAAGATGAATAGTCCTGGGTAAGGAGCTAATCAGGTTTCCCGCCAGAGTGCTCTTTTCTCCTAAGCTGGCCCAGAGGGTGTAGGATTACTCACTTAGTCTCTTTCCTGTGAGCTGCTTTAGGTAGGTTGCTGCCTTCAGGCCTTCTTCTGGGCTGGATCTTATCATGGCTTCACAAAGTAGTCCTCCCTCCAGGACTGGTGAGGCTGAGTGATCCTCCTGTCCAGATCCCAGCCTGTAGGTAGGCCCCTTCCCACTGGGCTTCTCCTAGGCTTCTACATCTCATACTTTTACTCCATCTTCCACCCAAACTCACCTGATGGGAAGGCACAGACACTCTTAAGGGTTGTCCTTTCCCAATGCCAAGCCTCCTGCCTGGGGATAGCCAGGATCCCTCGAGAGTGCAGACCAGTTCCTCCTCACTCTCACCCACTGAGTTCTAGAGACTTCTCCAAGTCTCTAGATCAGGGGGAGGTATCAGTATGAACTGATCTGCAGAGCCTTTCAACCCTGACCAAAATTTGACCCTCTATCACCCAGGCTACTCTTCATCCTTCTAAATGAAAAAATAATTGGCTAGCTGCCCCTAGCTAAGTAGAAGGGTGATACAGGTCATTGTTGTTAGTGGGAAGTTATCTGGGAGTCAGATTTGCTAATTGCTCAAGGAACCCCAAGCAACCTCTGGAGGAACATTTGGGATCCATGGAATCTTGGTTGAGAAAGACTGCTGTAACCTCTCACCCTCATCTCACCGGTTTCCTTTCTCCTCACTTGTGTCCTATCTCAGGTGCCTCATTCGATAAGAGTTCCCCCACCTGGGTGGCCTTGGCTCGGATCGCTGCCTTATGCAACCGCGCTGTCTTCAAAGCAGGAAACGACAACATTCCCGTTCTGAAGGTGTGTGACGTTAGTGCCTCGACGGGAGCTGTGTAGCATTGTGTCACTGTGTGTGGCTGCTCGTCTTGTCGTATGTCCCGCTTACCGTGTATGTGTTTCTGTATATCGGCCTCACTGTGTGTTAATATGCATGCGAGTGTTAGTTTCCATAGGTAACAGGGTATGTTTCTGCTTCCCAGAGGGATGTGGCAGGTGACGCCTCTGAATCAGCTCTCCTAAAATGCATTGAGCTATCCTGTGGATCGGTTAAGGCCATGAGGGAGAAGAGCAAGAAAGTTGCAGAGATTCCTTTCAATTCCACCAATAAGTACCAGGTGAGTGCAGGGCCACATTTCTGCAAAGTCTATACAAGCTGCAGTCTATGGCACCAGAAATGCCTGCGTAGTGAACAGACATTGCACACTGAAGGGTCTATTTATGAAAAAAAATTGTTGTGTGAATGCCCTCACAAACAAACAATCCTTATTCTTTGCCTGATATATTTTACTTCCTATGATCGTCAGCTCCATCTAGTGGCCATAATGCAGTATATCCCTGGTTGAGCTATTTCAGGAAAATACCTCAATATAGCCACTAAGTGGCCCTGACAGTCATAGGAAATAAACATATTGAGCCAATTAGATATCATACTGCAATTGTTTACATATAAATAACCCCTATAATGCTGCTGCCAGCAATACATTTCCATGTCATGAAGAGGATCCAAACATTTATATTTATGTCTTCCCATCCCAGTGAATTTCCCACACACACACACACACATTGCTGGTATGGGTGTCACAACAACAAAAAGTGAAAATACTCTAAGGGGTCACAGAAATTTCTATGCTGTAGGGCTTGTTCACACATGTGACTGAGGGCAGTAAAACCAGGGGGTTGAGCTGAGGTTTTACAGCCCCCCTGAGCACTAACAGAGCACTCAAGGCTGTACACATGCCACAGTAATGGCAAAATTGAAACAGCATTTTGATTGTGATGGTGCTGGCAAAGATTACTAATATAGTTCTTTGAGGCCACCCCGCAACCGGACTGCAGTGATGTGCAATACATGTGATTCCGGCACAGTAGTATGGCAATTATAGAGTTAAATCAGGTTTTGAAGAGGCAACATATTGCCTCCTCACTGCCTGTCCAACACCTCTGAAAAGCAATATGAGTGTGGATTGATTTTCATGGGAGGGGCAGTCACTGCCCTTATTGTACGAGCATTTGCTATCCCTGAAAACCATCTGTCCCTATCTCCTGCTTGTGCTCCTACTTGGTCACCTTGCCACGTGTAGTCTCATCTTCCGATGGAGACTACACATGGCTCTTTTCACATGCATTACGCAGGCGTGGTTCACTGCTGTGACCATCAATATCCCACTGTGAAAAAATCCTTGAGCCATCACCACAAGCTGTCATTCATTTGGGGTTTGTAACTATTTTAAAGGGGAACCCAAGCTTTCTGTGAACAGGGGCCATCTCTAAATGCTATATACAACTAGCCAATTATAAATGCAGCATTTGTTGTACAGATTGGGCATACACCTCCAGATCTCTCAGATGCTATCATAGTCCTTTGGTTTCCATAAGTTACTGCATAACATGTCTTTTGTTGATTTGCCAAAATCTGCAACAGAAATGTTATGATTGATCACCTTACAATACTGCTTTGCTGCACATCGCAAATGATCACTAGTGCTTTCACTGTCGTATTCCAACATTTTTCAACCTTTATCTTTAACACAGAAGAACCCCTGACAAGACCTTTTAGATCTCAGGGAACCCCTGTCAATATTTACTATATCCACAGCTCACAGTCCATTAGTTTGGTGATCAGTGGGAAGAATGTTCCTTATGTTGGAAGTCAATGGGTAGAAATGTCCTTACATTGGTGGTCAGTGGGAAGAATACTCCCTCAATTGGTGATCAGTGGGAAAAATACTCCCTCAATTGGTGGTCAGTGGGAAGAATACTTCCTCAATTGGTGGTTAGTGGGAAGAATACTCCCTCAATTGGTGATCAGTGGGAAGAATACTCCCTCAATTGGTGGTCAGTGGGAAGAATACTCCCTCAATTGGTGATCAGTGGGAAAAATACTCCCTCAATTGGTGGTCAGTGGGAAGAATACTTCCTCAATTGGTGGTTAGTGGGAAGAATACTCCCTCAATTGGTGATCAGTGGGAAGAATACTCCCTCAATTGGTGGTCAGTGGGAAGAATACTCCCTCAATTGGTGGTCAGTGGGAAGAATACTCCCTCCAATGGTGGTCAGTGGGAAACATACTCCTTCCATTGGTGGTCAGTGGGAAGAATACTCCCTCCATTGGTGGACAGTGGGAAGAATACTTCCTCAATTGGTGGTTAGTGGGAAGAATACTCCCTCAATTGGTGATCAGTGGGAAGAATACTCCCTCAATTGGTGGTCAGTGGGAAGAATACTCCCTCAATTGGTGGTCAGTGGGAAGAATACTCCCTCAATTGGTGATCAGTGGGAAGAATACTCCCTCCAATGGTGGTCAGTGGGAAACATACTCCTTCCATTGGTGGTCAGTGGGAAGAATACTCCCTCCATTGGTGGACAGTGGGAAACATACTCCTTCCATTGGTGATCAGTGGGAAGAATACTCCCTCCATTGGTGGACAGTGGGAAGAATACTCCCTCCATTGGTGGACAGTGGGAAACATACTCCTTCCATTGGTGATCAGTGCGAAGAATAATCCCTCCATTGGTGGTCATTGGAAAAAAATACTCCTTCCATTGGTGGTCAGTGGGAAAAATACTCCTTACTTTGATGGTCAGTGGGAAGAATACCCCTTATGTTGGAAGTCAATGGGTAGAATATCCCTTACATTGGTGGTCAGTGGGAAGAATACTCCTTACATTGGTGGTCAGTGAAAAGAATGCCCCTTATGTTAAAAGTCAATGGGTAGAATGTCTCTTACATTGGTGATAAGTGGGAAGAATGTTCCTTACATTGGTGGTCAGTGGGAAGAATGTACCTTACCTTGGTGGTCAGTGGGTAGAATGCCCCTTGCATTGGTGTTCAGTCGGAAGAAAACCCCTTACATTTGTGGTGAGTGGGAAGAATACCCCTTATGTTAGATGTCATTGGGGAGAATTTCCCTTACATTGGTTGTCACTGGGAAGAACGCTCCTTATGTTGGAAGTCAATGGGTAGAAATGTCCTTACATTGGTAGTCAATGGGAAGAGTACTCCCTCAATTGGTGATCAGTGGGAAGAATACTCCCTCCATTGGTGGTCAGTGGAAAAACATACTCCTTCCATTGGTGATCAGTGGGAAGAATACTCCCTCCATTGGTGGACAGTGGGAAACATACTCCTTCCATTGGTGATCAGTGGGAAGAATAATCCCTCCATTGGTGGTCAGTGGGAAAAATACTCCTTCCATTGGTGGTCAGTGGGAAAAATACTCCTTACTTTGATGGTCAGTGGAAAGAATACCCCTTATGTTGGAAGTCAATGGGTAGAATATCCCTTACATTGGTGGTCAGTGGGAAGAATACTCCTTACATTGGTGGTCAGTGAAAAGAATGCCCCTTATGTTAGAAGTCAATGGGTAGAATGTCCCTTACATTGGTGATAAGTGGGAAGAATTTTCCTTACATTGGTGTTCAGTGGGAAGAATGTACCTTACATTGGTGGTCAGTGGGTAGAATGCCCCTTGCATTGGTGTTCAGTAGGAAGAAAACTCCTTACATTTGTGGTGAGTGGGAAGAATGCCCCTTATGTTAGATGTCATTGGGGAGAATTTCCCTTACATTGGTTGTCAGTGGGAAGAACGCTCTTTATGTTGGAAGTCAATGGGTAGAATGTCCCTTACATTGGTGATAAGTGGGAAGAATGCCCCTTATGTTGGAAGTCAATGGGTAGAATGTCCCTTACATTGGGGGTAAGTGGGAAGATTGTTCCTTCATTGGTTATCAGTGGGAAGAATGTACATTACATTGGTGGTCAGTAGGTAGAATGCCACTTACATTGGAGGTCAGTAGGAAGATTGATACTTACATTGGTGGTCAGTAGATAGAATGCCTCTTACATTGGTGATAAGTGGGAAGAACGTCACTTACATTAGTGTTCAGTAGGTAGAGTGCCTCTTACATTTTTGGTCGGAAGAATGCCTCCCTGTATATTAGCTAAAATGATCATTGGTCAGTTGTTACAATTTTGAGAGGCAGAAATTGCACATTGCTAAAGGAAACCCTATCAACCTCTGAAAGAACCCGGGTTGAGAAAGGCTGACATATTACCTCTGTCCACCTGTACTTCCTTACCGGCATTTTCCTCATTGGCCCTTCAATCCTGCCCCTCACCCTCCTGCTCTGCTTTTGTCAATCTCTCTCTGCACAGATTAGTCCCAGCTGCTGTAGGATCCCAGCCTGATCCTTCTTAACATTCATTTCATAATAACATAAAAGCTTTTTTAACTCTGCCTCCCTGGACTGTCCCGGAGCGCTGTGACTGCAGGTTGCTTGGGAATAACCCATTCATGCCTGGCGTGTACAGCCTTGCCATGGTCAAGCTGTGCTTCCATTTTGTTGCCGCCCCTAATGGAGAGGTTTTGTAAGATTTTTAAAGAATATATAGGAAAATATTTGAGTATATGATCTTTTCTCAATTTTTACCCCATTGGAATCCTTAGAATAATTTTCAGGTCTCAGAGAATCCCTTCTAGAAATTATTAATCTTAGGGGGAAATTGGGAGCGTGTCCCTAACAAGAAGAACACCTTTTACAGTGGTTGCGAGAATTCCTTCCTTACAGACAGCTAAGAAAACCATTGGTGCAATTCTAATGGCTCTTCCAAGTGTTGATATTCCAGCCTCTACCAGGTGTCAAAATGCATTTGTGAAGACACAGATCAGTAGTAATGTACATAGGCCCTTATACTGAGTCACCCACTAACTATAGTAAGATCATCTTATCTGCTTCTTGCCATTTCTTCCTCAATAGCTGTCAATCCATGAAACCGAAGACCCCAATGATAACCGCTACCTGTTGGTAATGAAGGGAGCCCCAGAAAGGATTCTGGATGTCTGCTCCACCATCTTGATCCAAGGAAAAGAGCAGCAATTGGACGATGAGATGAGAGAGGCTTTCCAGAATGCATACTTGGAGCTGGGGGGACTTGGCGAGAGAGTATTAGGTGAGTAGACATATAACACTGGGGAAACTGGAAAAGGAAAAGAGGACCGGGTTATTGAAAATGTTTGAATGTAGAACTGTCTTTGTGTGCATTGCCACCCAATCCCTTTCTTTCTTTTTCCCCTTAATTTTCCAGTTAGTCCTGGCAATGAAATATTGTGTAACTAACTGGCTGCCAAGGGCAATACAGATACCCCTTTATTTCTGGTATTTTCAGTGATGACTTTTCCACATTGCTGGTGTTCCCAAGACACAATGATCAGCAATGTTGCTTTGTTGGGGGGACTCCCCATGTAATAAGTCAATGACCCTAAATTTTTATTATCTTCTTACCTCCAGGCTTTTGCCACTACTACTTCCCCGAGGAGCTGCACCCAAAGGGCTTTGCTTTTGATACCGAAGACCTTAATTTCAGCACTGAGAACCTGTGCTTTGTGGGGCTCATGTCTATGATTGACCCACCTAGAGCTGCTGTGCCTGATGCTGTGGGCAAGTGCAGAAGTGCAGGCATCAAGGTAAGCCGAGTAGGCTGATAAAAATGGTTACATACTAAGGTATCCCAGTTTTCCGAAGGGTGAGGAAGTCAATTTGACAGGAGGTCTTGAGCCAAGCATTTTTTCTTTACCTATAGTCCATGACCTGGAAGTAAGAGCAGACTATCCCACCATCTGATTAACAACCAAAACCTTATGCTAACAAATGCCAAGAACTTTAATGAGTTGAAGCTTTCCCATCTTTTTATAAAGTGGTTATAAACCTTTACATATACTCAGTGATGTGACTGCCCGCAGGTGATACACAGAGATGAAACAAATCCTCCTATATTAGTTGCACCTGTTTTTCTGCAGCCATCTCTTCTCTACAGCTATTGAAAGTGCAGAATCTCTCAGCCCTGAAAATCAAGGGGTGGAGAGCTGAAGTTACACTCTGCAGAGCTCAGTGAGGGGAGCTCTGAGCCTTAATTGGAGGGATGGGACACACCCACCTTCACACAGGAACAGAGCTGAGGCTGTCAATCACAAGCTGTAAGCTGAAGGTCCCTCCCCTGTCACCTTTTTTCTCTTGGTGTCAGGAAAACATGATAGAAGTGACTCATGCTGATAGCAGAGAAACAAGGCAACAGAGAGAAATGACATCTAGCACTCTAAATTGAGACAAGTACACACTGTAGAAGGACATGATTTGTTCGTATTTCATGTCTGAGGTTTACAACCACTGGAAAGCTGAACTATGTACTTAATATGGCGTCAATAGTTACATAGTTAGTCTGGCTGAAAAAAAGAGAAAAGTCCATCCAGTTCAACCATACAAAAAAAGTTATAACCTACACCCACAGTCGATGCAGAGGAAGGCAAAAAAAAACAGCAAAGCATGATCCAATTTGCTCCTGCTGGGAAAAAAATTCCTTCCTGATCCCCCAAGAGGCAATCCGATATTCCCTGGATCAACTTTACCTATAAATGTTAGTATCCAGTTATATTCTGTGTATCCAAGAAAGAATCCAGGCTTTTTTTTAAAGCAATCCACTGAGCTGGCCAGAACCAACTCTTGAAGGAATGATTTGTACCGGGAGAAATGATATCTCTCTCTCTGGAGTCTATACCTCTTAATACAAGAGAGGATTTTGCTCGCTTTAGAAACCGCAGCTTGGCATTGCATGCCATTATTAAGCTTGTGATCTATAAGAACTCCCAGATCCTTCTCCACCATTGATTCCCCCAGTTGTACCCCACCCCCAGTATGTATGATGCATGCATATTCTTAGCCCCCCAAGTGCATAACCTTACATTTACCAACATTAAACCTCATTTGCCACATAGTTGCCCAATTATACAGAGCATTGAGGTCAGCTTGTGAGGTGAAGACATCCTGTAAGGCCGTTATTCCACTGCACAGCTTGGTGTCATCTGCAAAGACTGAAATGGGATTTTTATTCCCAGACCCGATATTGTTTATAAATATATTAAAAAGTAAGGGTCCCAACACTGAACCTTGGGGTACACCACTGACACCCCTAGACCATTCAGAGTATGAATCATTAACCACTACTCTCTGAATATGATCTTTTAGCCAGTTTTCTAACCATTTACATACGGATTTTTTTCAAGCCCATAGACTTTACCTTACACATTAGCCGTGTGTGGGGAACTGTGTCAAACGCTTTTGCAAAATCCAAGTACACCACATCCACCACCACCCTTCTGTCCAAGTATACCACGTCCACTGCCACCCCTCTGTCCAAGTATACCACGTCCACCGCCACCCCTCTGTCCAAGGTTTTGCTTACTTCCTCATAAAAAGAAATCAGATTTGTTTGACAACTTCTGTTTTTCATGAATCCATACTCTCTGTTGCTTAAAATATTTTTTCCAGCAAGAACTCATCTATGTGGTCTTTTATTAAAACTCTCCAGTATTGTCCCAACTATAGAAGTTAAACTAACACGTCTATAATTACTTGGTAAAGATTTTGACCCCTTTTTAAATATTGGCACCACATTATCCTTACGCCAATCCAGTGGTACTATGCCAGTCATTAAAGAATCCCTAAAATTAGAAATAATGGCTTTGAAATGACAGAGCTCAATTCTTTAAGGACCCGTGGGTGTATGCCATCCAGTCCAGATACTTTATTCACCTTTATTCTGTCTAAATAGTTTTGGATCATATCAATTGTGAGCCACTATGGATTATCTGGAGCTGTGTCAATACCATGACCATTATGGACAAGAGCTCCCCCATGCTCCTTTGTATACACAGAGCTGAAGAAGGTATTTAATAAATTTGCCTTCTCTTTCTCCCCAGTCACCCACTCTACATTATTTTGTAAAGGGCCTACATGCTCGGACTGAACCTTTTTACTGTTAATATATTTGAAGAATTTTCTGGGGTTGGTCCTGCTATTTTTTGGAATCTTGTTCGTTTTTGCGGTCTTTAGTTCCTTTTTGCATATTCTGTTATATTCTTTGTAATGTTTAAACGATGATAGTGTTCCTTAATTTTTATATTTAATAAAAGCTCTTTTCTTATTATCTATAGCCTTTTTAATTTTGACTGTAAGTCACATAGGTTTGATTTTTAGCCTTTTAATCTTGTTGCCCATGGGAACATATTTTGCAGTGTTTTCACATACAGTCTTTTTGAAGAACTCCCATTTCTGTGTTGTGTTCATCAATGCCAATATTCCCTCCTAGTCTAAGTCTTGGAGAGCAGCTCTCAGCCTTGGGAAATTAGCTCTCTTAAAATTGAGCTTTTTTATTTTTCCCATAGGTGCTTGCTGTTTACAGCTAACAATAAATTAAATCAGGTTATGGTCACTGCTACCCAGATGTTCTTTTATATGGACATTCGTAATAAGCTCTGCATGGTTTGAGATTACCAGGTCCAGCAGAGCATCATTACTAGTAGGGGCTTCTATGAACTGTACCATAAAATTGTCCTATAGTAGGTTTATACATTTTTGCCCTTTAACTGTTCCTGCAGTACCATTACTTCAGTCAATTTCCGGGTCGTTAAAATCCTCCATTATTATCACTGTCCCAGCCCTTTTGATCTGTGCAAGGAGTTGAGTCTCCACCTCCTTATTAACACTGGGAGGCCTATAACAAACTCCAATGATTACCTTTGTAGTACGCACCTCCATGTGCAATTCCACCCATAATGCCTCAGCCTCGTCACACTCTCCATTAACTAGGTATAAATAAATATACTTTTTCATACAAGAACTGTAAGTATCTGAATGTGACTTGGTATAAACCTCTTGTAATCCCTGTACAGCAGAGCTGACTGGGATAGAGAGAATCAGTGCAAAGAACCAGTCACTTGTGCTGCAGTTCTCATGTGCTAACATAATCCCTGCATGCTGTTAGAAGAAGAGAGCAGAGCATGGATAGATGAATTGCTGCTTCGTCTGTCCAGTCAAAGGCTGGGGGAGGAACAAGACCTGTAAATGTTACTCAGCAGCAGCAGAAAAAAGAGTTAGGTCTCCTGCTATGAAAGACTGGAATGTGCTGTGTGGCAGGACTGGATGGACAAATACAAATCCTTTGGTGGATAAATATGTATTTCATCTGAATATTTAGCCTTTTTCCCTAGAATTCAGCTTTAAAATAAAGCAGTGAATATGGAAAGCTTCTATTAAATATTTAGAGGGCTGTTTAATATTGAGTATACATTGCTCTTGCTTATTTATTTATTTATGATTTTCCTTAGGTTATCATGGTAACTGGAGATCATCCAATCACAGCAAAGGCAATTGCGAAGGGTGTGGGCATCATCTCAGAGGGTAATGAGACAGTGGAGGACATTGCAGCCAGACTCAACATCCCTGTGTCCCAGGTTAATCCCAGGTATGGAAAAAAGATGCAACCAGCCAAGGTAAAGTGATAATGATAAAACGTGAGATGGCATGATAGGTGACAAAATCAAAGTTAGAACTGTCAAAAAGCTTGGTTATCTCCTGGCTTCCTAATGGCTTAGATCTTGTTGCCATCTCTTCTGAATGTTCCTGCCCAACCACATTTTTAGGTGTTCCCGTCCTCCTTTGTGTTTTATTGTCAATTTTTTACAGTCTCCATAACATAAAATAAATAAAAATCCAGTGAGGAGAGTGTGGGTTCCCTTATAATGGCCAAAGCAGACTTGGAAACAGAGATTTCACCAATAGTGTCCGAGAGATCTAAGAAATTGACAGAAATTGTGCAAATTAAAGAAATAAGGAAATCAACAATCTCTGCCTACGGTGAAAAGCTTTGAAAGTTTTTTTTTAGAATAACAAAGTTACAAAGTAAAAGTAAAGATTAGAAAACAGAGAAATTATGTACACAGAGATCTTCTGGCAAGTGAGGTGAGGCCCTGGCCTCTTGACCAAAAAGGAAGAATTTAGGTTCCACACCTGGACAGTTCCCCTGTAGGACCTCCAAAACATGAACATTTTACATATTAACATATGTAGCCCAAAACTGAAAAAAGTAATGCCCCCCAAACCTGTATCATTCGGTTCAGCATGTGGATAGAATGGTACAAGACACATGATTGGCTTGTCAGGCTACAGTAGACCTCAAAAAAATAGCAGCCATTAAGATATTGATGGAATAAATTGTTGTTCCATCTCCTTGGAGTATCTTGTGCAATGTGTAGAGACATTAATCTTTGCATTCTACAATGGGGTATTTTAGAGTCAAGCTGATAAGGTTTTCCAAAATAACAGAAATGAAGGTCCCCTGTAATCTTTTATGTAAATTAGTTAATATGTAAAATTCCATCAAAATGGTGACTCCCTGTTGCATGAATGTGAATGTAGTGGGTGAAAGAAGGCTTCAGATCCTGTTCTCCACCTGTAGAGAACCCATACATTTAGGTTTTAGAATAGACTGTCTTTCTTGTAAAATGAAGTTAACAAGACACCAAGCATGTTGCTTGGGGATGTAAGGCCACCACCATTCTAGAATCATGGTTAGACTAAACCACTGACTCAAGTCAGGAAGGATCCATGCTGTAAAAATATATTATACAGTATGTTCCAAGGTCTATGAACACTTGACCATCACATTATATAGCCATATGTACATGGAAACCCCTCCAAATTTTGAGGTATTTCTTGTAAAGGGTACCAATAATTCTACAGCATACCAATCGTGTGCTTCCAATCTTGTGGCAACAGTTTAAAGAAGGCCCTTTCTGTTCTAACAAGATTACACTCCAAAGCCGGCTTCATAGGGACATAGTTTGAAGTTGGATGAGTTTGGTGCGAGGAAACTTAAGCGGCCTACACAGCTACCACACAGCCTACACCTACTGAACACCTTTGGGATGAAATGGAAAGCCAGGTCTTCTTGTCCAACATCAGTACCTCACCTCACCAATGTTCTTTTGGCTAAATAGGCACAAGTTCCCACAAACACACTATAAAATCTTGTGGAAAGCTTTCCCGGAAGAGTACAAGATGGTATAGCTCAAAGAGGAAGGGTGATAACTCCATAGTAATATCCATGGTTTTGGAATAGAATGTCCAATAAGCTCATATAGGTGTGATGATCTGTTGTTACCAAAATTCTGACCATAGAGTGTACCTACCAACTGTTCCTCATATGTATTCCAATGTAGACAGAGATTAGCTCTTACTTTAATTGTGATGATTTTTTTATAGCTCAGTCATTTTTAATTTCTTACTAGGGATGCCAAGGCTTGTGTAATCCATGGAACAGACCTGAAGGACATGAGCACCGAACAAATTGATGAGATCCTTCAGAACCACACAGAGATTGTCTTTGCCCGCACATCTCCTCAGCAGAAGCTGATCATTGTGGAAGGATGCCAGAGACAGGTAAAGACCATTGTAGCCCAATGTACAATATGTGGAAGGGCATGGTTTTACTATTATCACATAATCAGACTTGGTGTTTTATATTACAACATCCCTATACATTTTAAGACTGTTTGAAATTATCCCATTAGTCTGAACTAGTCATGCTGGGGATTTTATAGTATGAATGCAATGTCTGGGAAAAGCAGTGAGCCAGTCCCTTGAATGGGGGGTTGGAATGTTGTCCAGACAAGTACACAGGGTACCATTGCCATGGTTGCAGTGAAGATATTATTTTAATTGGCTGCAGGATAAAACAGATCATTTTAAAAGCCATAACTATACTGTTGTAGTTGTTGTTATATCTATTCTTAAATTTGGAAGTGTTCCTTTAATTCTTTTGATTGACACCCTAGTGTTCTCCAAATTTAGGGCGCTATTGTGGCTGTGACTGGTGATGGTGTGAATGACTCCCCTGCCCTAAAGAAGGCCGACATTGGGGTAGCTATGGGCATTGCTGGCTCTGATGTCTCCAAACAGGCTGCTGACATGATTCTTCTGGATGATAACTTTGCTTCAATCGTCACTGGTGTTGAGGAGGGTAAGGGGACACTCTGTAATAGCTGGAGTACACTCTACATGAATATAGGCTGCAACTTGTGTAACACTGTCCACTCATCAACAGGTCGCCTTATCTTTGACAACCTGAAGAAGTCAATTGCCTACACCCTGACCAGTAACATTCCAGAGATCACCCCCTTCCTGCTCTTCATTATGGCCAACATCCCCCTGCCTCTGGGCACCATCACCATCCTGTGCATTGATCTGGGCACTGACATGGTGAGTAGACCATAGTGGCACATTGATGTAAGTGGAAGGAAAAAATATTTGGTACCCAGAGCAATCAAAGAGTTTCCATAACAGGTTAGAACCAGGATGGCTATCATGTACATTCCATCCAATGACCCAGTATGTGCAAGCTACTGACAGTCTTCCAAACCTAAAGGAAAGCGGAATGTCCATTAGTATTGCTCCATAAAGGAATACCACCATGAGAAAAAGGAAGGCTTCCATTTCCATCCTTTCCTGATGTAAATCTTCATTTTCTAGTTGCCACACCTCTAGCTTCAATGGTGTGAGTTACTGACCCAGAACTGGTATGCTAAAAAGGACTTTACTCCAACTCTTCCAACTTGCACATTAGTTTCCAAGTCAGTGACTCAAAGAGGTTTATTCACTAAGGCTGGAGAGTGTAAAATCAGGCTCACCTCTGCATAGAAACCAATCAGCTTCCAGGTTTTATTGCCAATGCTTAATTGAATAAGCTGAGTTTAGAAGCTAATTGGTTTCTATACAGAGGTGAGCCTGATTTTACACTCTCCAGCTTTAGTAAATAAGACCTAAAGGGTCAGCTGGGCAACTAGAATATTTAAAAGGAAGCCAGCGATGGCAGCCCACATTTTTTTCACAGATGCACTTCAAAGCAGTCCTATATTTAATGTAAACCTGTCAGAAACAAAATGGTACAGAACAGGCTACAGCGGCACATTGGTGCCTACACATACCTTATAGCTCCCAGGGTAACCCAAATCTTGGGAACCTGTAACCTACCATTGTCATCATAGATGCTTTGCATTGTGGGAGTCAATGGGCACATGTATGTGGGGGATGGTCTGGAGCTGAACTGCATACACTACCAAATAATATTAAAACTGGCATGTAACAATGGCTGGATTTCGGGTGTTGGGTGGGTCACATAAAGGTCTGAAGTGCCTGTTCATTATTATTGTAGTAATTCCGGCCTTTTTTTTTTTTTTTAAATAGTGGGATTCATTTTACAATGCACTGTATACGATGAGGATAATAAGACTTTGTGAAATGTACCGTTTTGTGAATAAAATTCTGGATACATCTGGCAGCCAGTCACATGAGCAGTGCTTAGGCATTGGTCACTGCAGTTAATTTTTTAGGCAAAACGCAAGATTAGTTGGCTATGTTGGACTGTCAGTTTGGCAAAAGCCTTTCAGCAAAAACCATGCCACCTTCGCAACTACACCTCTTCCTCCCTCAAATGTGTTACAGTTAATGTCCATTATGGAGAAGAGTTGCGGTGAGTATATAATTGCACTGAGGAAGGGCAGATGGCCAAAGTAGTCACTTTTAATATGATAAATTGTCACAAGATGCTGGGGAAAAAAAACTTGAAAACATTGGATCCTTATTACTGGAGGTAAAGGAGAGAGGAACTAGCACCATACACAGCACTCCATGGGCAGTTCAATTGACATGACCTGGGCACCCTGGTTGAGAAAGGCTGGTCTAATCAATTTGTTTATTTGTTTTAACTATATCCTACATTTCAATGCTCTGTATATAATGACACTTGCATCAACTACTTCCCCAGGTTCCTGCTATTTCCTTGGCCTATGAGGCAGCTGAGAGTGACATTATGAAGAGACAGCCAAGAAATCCCCGTACAGACAAACTGGTGAACGAAAGATTAATTAGCATGGCTTACGGGCAGATTGGTGAGTCCCTATCCCAGATTATTGCTAAAATAATATCTCCTAAATTTATTTTATTTGATTGTCACCTGTAACAATGTTTCCACCACTATAGGTATGATTCAGGCTCTTGGTGGCTTTTTCTCCTACTTCGTCATTCTGGCAGAAAATGGTTTCTTGCCATCTCACTTGGTGGGCATTCGGCTAAACTGGGATGACAGGACAGTTAATGACCTGGAAGACAGCTATGGCCAACAGTGGGTGAGTTGTCAGCTATTTCCTGAGAAGTTTTGGGTACCGCCAAGTCTTAACAAAAATTGAAGTCTGGCCTAAACTAACACTATAGATTCTAGTGGAAGGTCAGTTTGGATTTTTATTACCTTTCTTAGCGCACTTTCAGTGTCACATACAACTCCTCCTCCTCCGCTGCCTCTTTCTGTTGGGGTACCCCAAGGTTCTGTTCTTGGGCCCCTCCTTTTCTCTCTCTATATACCTCCTCCCTGGGCCAACTAATAACCTCACATGGCTTACAATACCACCTCTATGCTGATGACACCCAGATCTATCTCTCCACTCCCCAGCTCACCCCCTCAATCTCTTCACGTATCACAAATCTACTAAGCGACATATCAGCATGGATGTCACTTCACCACCTCAAACTCAATCTTTCCAAAACTGAGCTTGTAATATTTCCTCCTCCCCAATCCCCCACTCATGACTTTACCATTAAGATCAACAGCACTACCATTGGTCCTTCCCTCATGCCAGGGTGCTAGGCGTAATCCTAGACTCTGACCTCTCCTTTGGGCCCCACATCCACTCACTGGCTAAATCCTGCCGCCTCAGCCTCCGGGAACATTTCCAAAATCTGCCCCTTCCTGACCAATGACACCACAAAACAACTCATCCGCGCCTTGGTTATATCCCGCCTCGATTACTGCAACTCCCTCCTCATTGGTCTACCGTTACACAGGCTATCCCCCCTTCAGTCTATTATGAATGCTGCTTCTAGACTCCTACACCTTACCAACCGATCAGTGACTGCTGCCCCTCTGTGCCTATCCCTCCACTGGCTTCCACTAACCCAACGTATAAAATTCAAAATACTAACCACAGCTTACAAAGCCATCCACAACACTGCCCCTAGCTACATCACCAACCTCATCCACAGATACCACCCAAATCGCCCACTCCGCTCCTCCCATGATATCCTCCTCTATAGCTCCTTCATCACCTCCTCCCACGCTCGCCTTCAGGACTTCTCCAGAGCCTCTCCCATCCTCTGGAACTCCCTACCACAGCATGTCCGGTCAGCCCCCACCCTGTCTGCCTTTAGGCAATCTTTGAAAACTAACTTCTTCAGGGAAGCCTACCCCACCTCCACCTAAGAACTGTACTTGAATCACCTCCGCCAGATCATCCCCCGCAGCTATCACCTTTTGTACCACCTCCCCCTTCCTTTAGATTGTAAGCTCCACGAGCAAGGCCCTCACATTCCTTCTGTACTGAAATGTATTGTAATTGTATTGTCTCCCTTATATTGTAAAGCGCTGCGCAAACTGTTGGCGCTATATAAATCCTGTATATTAATTTTTATCTACAACCTATGGACTTCTGCACTGAAGAAGGGACTCAGCCTGGCCTATACCTACAGTATTTGAAACTTTCATACAATAATTGCAGACCCTTATAAATAAATGGGCAATTAGTGGTCTATGGGCCATCACAAATTCGAGCACACAAGCTGTTGGGAGGGAAGGCTATATACCCACCACACCCCATAACTAAACTAGACTCCTGGAAATCACATGGATTTAGTAGCTTATTTGTGCCCTGCCATCTTTAGGTCATATATATAAACATACATATATTATATACATATATAATGCTGCATTTTATTTTATAGACTTTTGCAGTTTAGGGGAAACTATCATACTTTTTGGTCATTTTATTTTCAATTTTCTTTCCAAAAAATGCAACTTTTTATTATAAAAAAAATGAATGAAACAAAAAAGGTAAAAAGCATAAAAAACTGTAAAAATATATGAACATAAGGTAGAGAAAGAGGGACAGGAAGTGGATATTTAAAGTGACCCTGTAGATAATATTAAACTGCCGAAAAAACACTTGCCTGCAAAAGAATGTGAATACTTACCTCCTCTGCTGTCCACAGTGCCAAATGTTGATTTGTTGGAAGAACAATCTTTCCCGAAAATCTGCTGGGAAACCGATACCTCTGGGAAGGGTCAATCTCCTATTTCCGCAGCAGCACTCTAGCGGACCGCCAAATCACTGTTGTGAGGAAGTCAATGGGAGAAACAAATAAAGCACAGCGGGGACAAGGGTGATTGACACTCTTGGAAGTGTCAATTTCCCAACAGATAGTAGGGGACGATTCCTCTTCATCAAAGCAATGTTTAGTAGCATGGATAGCAGGAGAGAGGTACATATTTAGAATTTTTGCTTTTACAGGGAGTTTTTTGTTTGCAACGGGCTCACTTTAAGTCAACAAAGGTTAACTAAACATTATTCATGGGTCAAAAAAGTATACATTTACAGGTTTGCTGCACGTAATTAACCAACATATTAGAGGACAAGCCTTGTGATCTGTTCATAACAGCTGCAATTACAATGTAACAAAATGGCCACATTGCTCCTATTAATTCTATTAAGAACAAGCTGTTACAGTGATCAGTAAAGTAGGTAGCTCTCTGTTATGATCCGCCAGGTGGTACCTCTGGCAGCCCACCAGACAGGATTACCCAGAGCGTGGAGTCTAAGTCCCGGTCTGCGTATTCACCAGGGCCCCTGATGGTGGGGATGGACTTGAAGCAGACCAGGACCAGGTCACGACCTCTGAGCACTCCCACCCGTGGCAGAGGGGACCACAGGGGATGGATACAGGAGGAGAGCCTGATGTGAAGAGACCGGCAGGCTCAGGCGGGATGGATGGATGGATGGATCGCAGTCAGACAGCCCAGTCGTTACCGTGGGAGCAGCGAGGTACAGAATCGGCAGGCAAAGGATGGTCGGGTCACACGCAGGGTCAATACCGGGGTGGTCAGACCGCAGAGAGGTCAGATAAGCCAGGGGTCAGGATAGGAGAAGGCAGCGAAGTCAGGGCAATCCGGGTCAAAAACAGGAGAAGCAGTGTAGTCAGGGCAATCCGGGTCAAAAACAGGAGAAGGCAGCGTAGTCAGGGCAATCCGGGTCAAAACAGGAACAGAACTCAGGGTACAGGAACACAGGTAGCAGGAAAGACCTTGCGGCAATTTGTGACAGCGCAGGGCACCTTTAAATACCGCGCCCTGCGCTGTCATTGGTTGCCCATCGTGTACTTGCGGCACCTACTGCACATGTGCGAGTCTCCTTCAGCCGCGGCCGGCGAGACCTAGTGCCCGTATCCCGGCGCGAGCCGTCGCGACTGCGCATGTGCTGGGACAGACGCCGCGGCGGACCCTGACACTCTCATATCCACTTCTGTGCATGGATGGGAAACTTAGAGGTCAAACTGAGGGCTTAGATTATACTGGGGGGGATGTACTAGGGGGGCTTTACTGAAGTTTTTCCAGGCATACCTAATATGTCCTTGCCTCACAAGTCATTTTTGCGTTGTATTGCTAAACATAACTGATAAAGGAAATGTATATACATCTGTTAGAAACCCACTGAGAACCAACATTATAATACGTTTTCCCTTCTCTGTGCTTTAGACATATGAGCAGCGCAAGATTGTGGAATTCACTTGTCACACTGCCTTCTTCGTCAGTATTGTGGTTGTACAATGGGCTGATGTCATCATCTGTAAGACCAGAAGAAACTCAGTATTCCAGCAGGGCATGAAGTAAGGAAAAACATGAACATTTCTCATTCTCTGTAATATGCCGGTACAAGGTCATCCAGTGCCCAGGGCGAAGATGTTTGCACTATACTTCTACTGTTGAGTGGACAGTAGTGGTGACTTCATTCTAGTGCCCTATGGCCAATCTGCAAGGTGCCCAAAATGTGAAGCAGACCTAGCCCAGGACAAGTTGGTCCACCTGTTGGGCACCAGGGCAGGGCAAGTAGCCTTAGTGGGGATGGTCATACTGATCCCCCATCACCACATAAAAATAATGCGCCTGGGGCATCTGCCCCTCTTGCACACCCCTTGTCCCAGCCCTGCTCCATTTTTGTTAACAAAAACAAACACACCCACTCGCATACTGTATAAGATATGGCTTTGTAGTGTAGTCATTGGGTTGACCTATTAGACATGATCATCCCCCCCACACCCAAAAAAAAAACCCACCTCCCTGTATCCATTTAGATGTGCAACATTATTCCCCAATTTCTTATTAGAGATTTAAATTCAAGTGCATGAAAGTTGGGAATGCCTTTAGTTTGATTGCATGTTCTATGTACACTGTAATGAACCAATTAAAAAAGCAAGGGGTTGGGGACTTTGGAAGGTTTGCACTGTATATACTGTACTATTGCCACAGTTACAAGAAAAAATAGACAGTTTGGCCAGATTTACAAAAACATAACTGGGTATATAGACTGACATGGAAAGATGGCTTCTGTAGCATTTAAATACATCAATTATTTTTAAGAAAATTTGAGATAATAGATTGTATATATAGGATCTACCATCTTGATAACCCTGAACGCTTGTTTGTCATTGCAGGAATAAAATCCTAATTTTCGGTCTTTTTGAAGAAACAGCGTTAGCAGCTTTCTTGTCGTATTGCCCTGGAATGGACATTGCACTGAGAATGTATCCACTAAAGTAAGTCCGTTACGTGCCAAGGTTCAGTTGTGATGCATGTGTGACAGTAAAGGAAACCTGTAATGGGAGATACTATATCTGTGGACTTCCATTGCTGGCTTGATTAGTTGCCTGGCTGTCTCAGGCTACTGTATTTTGTGAAGGCTAATCCAGAGTAAGCAAGTTTCCAGTGAAATCCAACTCCTGACCATGAAACCTATTGTGCCAGAAAATACCACACTCCCCACACCATTGTTTTGGCGTGAGTCAAAGCTGAACTCCACGAAAAACAAAAATCCTTCCTTGAAGTAGGTGGGACCACAAAAAGCATTTTTACTTACCTGATCCTATGCTTCCCCAGTCTCCTCCATGTTGTAAGACCAGCGCTCACAGCCTCTTCTCCCCTATGACATGATGCCATCTGGCACCATGAAGACCAAAGCAGATCTCATAGACCTGTTTGGATGTGGATTGGATGTGAGGATGCCAAGGGACAATCCACAAACCAGACCATTAGGAGAAGGAGGAGAACAACAAAGGGATCAGAGGATCGAGTACACATAGAAGACTTTTTGGTGGCCCCCCATAGGTCTACAGTCAGTGAGAGCTGCCGGGCATCATTTAGTGGTCTATTCTGATTTTATATCTTTTATCACAGCATATGGCAGAGGGAAGTCTTCAGACATGACCTTCCTTTGTGGCTCTAAGATGTTATATGACTGGCTGCCAAGAGCCACAAAGGAAGCTGATCCTGAATTGTGTCAGAGTAAACTATGTCCTTAAAGTAGACCTGCAATTGCAAATGGTGCTTTCATGGTAGGGGCATATTTCTGTGGGCTAAAGAAAGTGTGCAATGCAAAGTGTTGCATGGCACTGCAGTGATTGAGCATGGTAAGAAAAAGGGTGTTGCTAAAAACATGGCAAATGGAAGGTCCACTTTTTGGCCAGCCCCCTGCCCCCCAACACAAGTGGCTTTAAAAAGCTGTTTGTTAACAGCCCCTCCAAAAAATACTACCTCTGGCCTCAGACTATTCCAGGTGATGACACCCTGCCTTCCGGCAGAGTTGAGAGTGCACCTCAACCCATTGCAACACTGCATTCTCATTGGATTTTGAGTTCTTCGTTCTGCCAGGAAGCAGTGGTGACGCTACTTGTTCCTCCTGAAAACATTGTAGGATGGGGACAAGGCATTTTTCGAGCTGAGGGAAGGGGATAGGACCTTCTATTTGCCATGGAATGTCTACATGGATAGGACCTTCTATTTGCCATGGAATGTCTACATTTAGGAACTAGTACCTTTCATCATGCCCACCAAACACTACTGCACCATGCCACACTTTGCATTCATCCTTTTTCTTGGCCACAGTAATGTATTCCTACTATGAAGGGACCAATTGGTTGTGTTCCGCTGCCCCACAGCTAAAGGTTCCAAATCCCCCCTGCATCTATACTGTCGAATATTGCACCATGCCAAATATTTCTCAATCAATGCAACAACTGTGTATGTAAATCTGAAATCACTGCACCTCAGGACATGGGCATCAAAATAAAGTGAACCTGTCATGACAAATATTAAGTCTGTCATTTTTAACCCCCTTCTGGAAATGCTAATAGGTTGACTTTTATGTGGATGTATTAGCTTTAATACTTTCTGAATCATTGACCTGAAGCAAGTATGCAGATCAGGAAAGAGAAAAAGTCCTCATTTACACACTTTTCTGTGTCTGTGTTTTAAAGTATTGAAGGGAGAGGTTCAGCAATGACATCTAGGCGCCTAGCATTTTCAGAAAGCCATATCAGCATTGGCAGTGTCTGTGTTTCCCTCATGATAGACCTTCTTTAACTGTTGATTGTACAGTTTGTAAAAGTTTAAGCATTTTCCCTGAACTCTGAGCAAGAAATGTACAATCAATATTTTATTAAATGCCAGTTTATCGCCTACAGGCAACTCACACGACATGCACTGAACTGCTTGTGCTGGTAATAAAGGGAATATATGCTGAGAGCAATGTGTAGGTTGCCATTGCTCATCTCCTTCTGAAAATAATAAATGCCCAACCCCTTAAAGATTGAATTCACTCAATATTATTTGAGTCAATGACCTAAGATGAGTATGCAAATAAGGATATGTTCTGTATGTAAGTTCTGGTTTAGTGTCTGAGAAAGTACTGGAAGCTAGCATTTTCTGACAGGGTCAGCAATGACCACTTTCCATACTGTAGGTCTCTCAGTATAGGATCCTTCTGTCATGTTTTCTCAATTAACTTCATTGAGTAAAAGGTAAAGATGAGCTTGGCTTTGGTCCAAGCCCATGTTTGGCCAAACCCATAAGGAAGCTGTCAGTACCAGCTTTCTGTGACTCCATTAAGGATAAGCTTGGGTTCAGATTAAACCATGAACCCGGAAGGAAGCTGTCAGTACCAGGCCAAGAAGCTGTTGCCCAGACCATTCCCAGCCCTGGAGCTGCATGTACACAAAGGGGCTGTTATGCTTGTAACATCATTGACTTAATATGGCCATATTAAGTTAGTAACATTTACATAAAATGGCTATATTAGGTCAATGATGTCACCAGCATCCCTCTGTGTACATGAAGCTGCTGGGCGGGGAATGCCCTGACCGCAGCTAATTGGTACTGACAACAGCCTTCTGGGTTTGGTCGAACATGGGTTTGGACCAAACCCAAGCTCATCCTTACTCAATTGTCCCAGAAAGCTATAAAGACTTGACAGAAGTATTTACTCATCCTTGTTTCTCCAAAACAAAAATAACTAATTTTCTTCAAGCTAGAAAAAGCACATATTTAAAATGAGATTGGGTTTAATAAACTGCATTTTATTTCTTTATCCAGGCCCAGCTGGTGGTTCTGTGCCTTCCCATACAGCTTCCTCATCTTTATATATGATGAGATCCGGAAACTTATCCTTAGGCGACACCCAGGAGGTAAGTCAGTGTGGCATGCAGTCCGAGCTCTGTTTTTTGCATTGTATATAGGCTGCACTCACAGCAGCTAATCCTGTTACCTATATGATAGTTTTAAGCAGTCTTTTTGTTAAACGAAGACTGCTTGCCCCCTGTCCCCCAAACTAGGAGCAAATAAAATAATGAATGCATTTTATATACTACTGGCACTTGTCCTGATATCAACCGATCATAATTGTCTGCCTAGAAGCACTCTCAGTAAATCAGACCCTATTGCTTCGCTCATTTCTTGTTAGTCTAACACTGAACATACTTACAGGAGGAGACAGTACAGATATGGCCTCCACAATGTGCTGCTATTGCTCTACTGTACATTGCTGGAATGTACAATAGGAATTAGAAATTGACCACCTATTGTTAATTCTCTAATTACTCATATGGGTAATAATAATAATGGATGATTTCCATGACCTTGATTTTAGGAGCGAAGGGTGTAGAGGTATATAAAGGAGAGTTGCAGCTCTAAGATTAAGGTAGAGTATGGCCAGACGTATGTGGGCATAGCTCCAAATTACTATGTTTAGCTGTTTCCAATGAAGGGTACTAAAAAAATGCTAAGGCATGGAAAGTCATTATAGACAACTGTATGTGTTCAACCTTGTGGCAACAGTTTGTGGAAGACCCTTGTTTGTTCCAGTACCTGTTCACAAAGCCATCTCCATAAATACACGGTTGGATAAGTTTGGTGGGAAGGAACTCGAGTGGCCCACACAAAGCCTTAAGTTCAACCCTACTGATCAATTTGGAAAGAATGGGAAAACCGATTGCAAGCCAGCTCACCCAACATCAGTTCCTGAACTCACAAATGTTGGTTTGGCTGGATACCCTCAAAAACCCCACAGACACATTTTTCTTATGGAAAGCCTTCTCAGAAGAGTGGAGGCTCTTGCAGCAACAAAGCGAAGGGCCAACTCTATACTAATACCCATGGTTTTGAAATGGGATGTCCAACAATCTCATAGTTGTAATGGTTAGGGGTCCACAAACGTTTGGCCATATAGTGTAACTAAGGAAAATATAACTGCAATCATTTTTGGCATCCCACTTTAAAGCCAGTGACTTCACGGCAGCCATGTACATGACTAAATACCTTGACATCCGATCAATGCTAAAGAGAAGGTATCTCTCCCTGTGTGTTGAATAAGCTGATATAATAATGATGATCTTTATTTCCTTTTTCTCTTACAGGTTGGGTAGAAAAAGAATCCTATTATTAAATTCGCAGAGACGCATCTCCCAGACCTGGACCCTCTCCAACCTCCGAATCCCCCTCCCCTTTGAATCAAACAAAAACGAAGAAAAAAAAAAAAAAAAAAAAACATAACAAGAACATAATTGAAAACAAAAAAAAAAACCCCCAAAATAAAACAGCAACAAGCTCCACCGGATTCTAAGAATTACAAAAGTCGCCATAACTCCCACCTGCCAAGCCTTCTGTTCCAGATTCCATGTTGGTTTTTTTCAAGTCATTTCTCTCCCCCACTTTTTTTCTGTAAAATTATAAATATATATATAAAATATATATTATATATAAATATAAATAGAACCAGGATTTTCTTTCTTTTTTTTTTATTATTATTTGCTTCTATAATGTTTTAATATAAAGGAGGGGGAGAGAGAGGATTGTAACAGAGAAGGTGATCGAGTGGAGGGTCTAAAAATTTTTGGATGGAGAATAATATAGATTTTAAGCTCTTCACTCTTGGGAAATCTGGTATTGGAGTGCCAGGACAAAGAATGGGAAGGAAAAATGGAGAAACCATTGAATAAAGGGGGGAGGGCTGTACAAACTCTCTTCCTAACAACCTCTATGCTGCCAAAGGCTTCAGAACACACCGCTCTACGTACATATACCAGTAATGTGCTGCTTCATCAGCTATAGGGTTAATCCGGGGATTTGCGAGGGCACCGGTACTGTGGTCACATGACACCTCATGAACAATGTCTGGTGTACAGCGTAGGGTCTTTACGGGGCATTATTAGGGCCCTTTGACTTCTAGAGAGACCCGAAGAGTCTCATATCGAAGTCTCATCTGTGTAATAAATACCCCCTTCACCCAACCACCCCACTTAATATTCCTCCATATCTGATGTACTCAGTCTTTATGGGCGTGAGAGGTACATGTATTTTGTCTCTGTTATTAGGAGGGGGTGAGAGCTAAACGTCCTGATGTCTGTGTATTAGAAGGGGGTGATAGGTACCTTGTCCTGATGTCTGTGTATTAGGAGGGAGTGGCGAGTGTGTGTCTCATTGTGATCAGGGTGGAGGTACAGAACGTCATATGCTAGAGAAATGGAGAGGGCTGGGGGGTCTGTTTGGAAGGGTAAAGTAGCCAGGCCTAGATCTATGTGATGGGCAACAGTTTTAATAACTACTCAAGTACTACTGAGTAGTTACAGTAGAGGAGAAAAGACATGAGTTAAAGTGTTGTCAACAGACAGTTGGGGAACATAAAGTACATGGTGACACCAAGACATTAGGAGAACAAAATGCAAATGGTAGGGCTGTTTCATGCATATGTCTGCAGTTCCAACCTACCCTTTGTCATAGTTATGTAACGAAAAATCAAAAACAAAAAAACAAATCAGTTCATAAATGCATAGAGGAGCAACGTTCTGTCTTCAGTAAGCCCGCTGTGCTTTCAATAAAATATGACGGGGTAGACGGGTTGCAGACAGACGTGTACAACTTGCCTTATTTTGGAAGCTGGTTTGAGACTAGTGGCAGTTGCCTGGTCACAGGTGATTGGTGGAAGGGGGAAGAAACCACAGAGCTAACAGATGAATGATGCTGAAAAGGTGGTGGAAGAGAAGTAGCTGAGAGCCAGCAAGCAATAAAAGGAGGGCACAGAATGGGCGATATGAAACAGAGAGGTGTGTGGGTGGACCAGAGCTGGATGTTGATAGGTTGAAGAGTGACCCTGGTACCTCTTAATAGGTGGAGGGGTTGAGTGCAGTTTGTGTCTGTTATGTGTCTCCACCCCCCCTCCCCCCTCTTGCATTAGTTTTTGTCAGGTTGTCAGACTTTTTTTATCTTGTGTTTTCCTGCCATTTTCTGTGATTTACAAAAATAAATAATAATAAAAAAATACCCCAAAAAAACTGCAAACTGTCTGATTTCTGTTTTTGGATGAACAAAAGGTACGGGTATAAATTATCTTTTTACAGGTACGGCTACTGCAAATAGAGACAGGGCTGGACAAATAACTATAGGACTCAATAACCGGCTTGTTCAAATTAAGTGTCAAAAAGCATATAATGGAACGCCAGCCAATACTTTTCTTTAAGGCTCACCAATCTGATTGTACAATTTCCTTTAGATCTACCATCAACTGTGTAGTACATGATGCTAATGAAATTTGTTGTTTAGGTTTGTCCTTGTATTTTGTAATTTTGTTACCACTGAAGGAGATTTTACAATCAGATTGTATAGTATATTTCAGGTACTTATATAGCGCCGTCAATTTATATGGCCAATTTACGTGGTGAAGGGTTAGAACCCTGCTCAGGTTTACCCTCTGGGTTCCATACTTTGAGCCAATGACCAAAAACACATACACAGACTTTTTTCCTGCAATTACTTATCGGTAACAAAGCAGGCCAGCTAAAAAAAAAAAAAAAAAAAAAAAAAAAAAAAATGGCAATGCAAAATATGTATTAAAATGCTGCAAGGGGCTGGGTGTCACTATGGGGGGTAATGAGGTTTCTGTAGCGGGCTTTTCAGGGAGATGCGAGGGGGGGCACTGTGGGGGTTAGGGGCTCTCTGGGTGGTCAAGCAGGCAGTTATGGGAGGTTGGGGGTGCTATAGGAGGTGGAAGGCACTGTGGTAGGTTAGGGGATCTGCAGTTGACTGGGGGCTAGGAAGGAAGGGAGACCATAGCCCAGCAGTGGGCACGACTAGGGCCTTGAGAACCATTACCGTAAGTCACCCATGTAGTTTACCTTTTCATAACGATTTTGCACAGATGGACAGCTGGTCCTATACTGTTTAGGCAAAAAGGCCCCCCCCTGAAGTTGAGCTTTAAGCACAGATTTATGAGTGCAGAATCCCCCCCCCCCGATTCTGCACTCATAAATCTGTGCTTAAAGCTCAACTTCAGGATTCTATTAAATCTCTAAAATTCCCAGCCCTAAGCACAAAAAAAACAAGTCTTTTTATTTTCTCACTAACTTACTTTTTCTAAAATAGAGTTTTTTCAATCCCACAAGGTAGTCATTGCTACTAATACAACGTAGGAATACCTGACTGCTGAGAGAGTGAAAATGTTAAAATCAATTTGCATTTAAACTGGAACTTAACCTAGCTTGTATAAATCTAACAGCAGGAGGCTCTTTATTGCTAAAAAGACATGCTATGTCCCTTCTGCAATAATACACACCTGCCTGCTTGCAATTTTCTGTTGAATGGACAACGAGATTGTACATGCACAGTTCAGTGTGCATTCCAGGCATATGCTGGTTGTGCCAGAATGACTGACTCCTATGCACATGTATGAGATGGTGTCATCCCCCACCAGTCGATCAATAGGCCAAAACCACCTAATGAAAATCTCCTAAATAGGTTCTAGCCCAGGAGTAGGCAGTGTTCAGCACTTCAGCTGAAACTACAAATTCCGCCATGTGCCTGCCTCTGGGAGTCATTCCTGTGGATGTCAGAATTTTGCAATGCCTTTTGGGATATGTAATTCCACAAGTGTTGAAGGTTTCCTATCCCTTCTCTAGCCTATTTAGGTCAATGGATCCTGCAGATAAACTGTTACTGCTTCGTCTTTCTCTGGCTCTGCTTGCTGTATCACAAGTCAAATTCAAACAGCCAAGGCAGGTCTGTGATTAGTGAATAAGAATAAAGTGCAGCGCTAAATAAATGAAAGTAAAGTCCCAATATAATTCACTACACAGTCGGTGCTATGAATAGTGCCAGTAAGCGTATCCTTCTTAATGGTGCTCCAAGCAAATGATAAAATTATGCACTTACCAGAAGCGCATAGATAATGCACATTGATATATACAAAAACAGGAGCATCAGAGTAGTAAGGTATGTAACTGGGACATCCGTCTCCTATTGGACAGCTCTGCAGTAAATGGGTGATGTCTGCTCCAGAGGTCTCCTTAAGGATCAGCAGGGTCAGCCACCTGGTTACAGGAATTCCCCTCCTCTGGATATTGAAGAACTTCCCAGGTTCTGCATACTTAAAGGCTCCGTAAAGGAGTCATAGGAAAAGTGCTCATGGCGTAATATTGCCAAAAGTAATACATTTATTAAATTCAGAAAGTTTCACAATAAAATAGGTACACTGACCAGTAGTTAAGATGGCCGCCGGACCAGCATGTGGGTCCAGCGGCTAAACGTCACAGCGTGTTGATTCCTTAGGCCTTTCGTGCAACCGCACATCTTCAGAGGAATGTCAACACTACTGCCCATACATTGCCTGTGTTTAAATAGGCCGGGCGCTTGTATTTTCGTGCCACCGCCATTTTGCCAAAGATCGGCTACTGCGCATCGGCGCCATTTTGCCAGTGATCAGCTACTGCGCATGCGCGAGTGCATCGGCGCCATTTTGCCATTGATCTTTTCATACAAGCTGGGTAAATATACTCAGCTGTAAGAAGACTAATACCAAGTGCCCAGGAACCAGCTAAAAACGAGATAATTAAATAACAATACAATACTGCCACTTATGCATTGTATGTGAATTTAGTAATGACTATATCTGTAATATGATTAATATGCCAAAGATAATTACCGTATATACTCGAGTATAAGCCGAGTTTTTCAGCACATTTTTTGTGCTGAAAAACGGCCCCCTCGGCTTATACTCGAGTCAACGTCTGCCCAGGGGGGGCGCGAGGCTCCGTCAAGGGGGGCGCGTACAGGGGTGGGCAGAGGGCTGCTGTCTCTTACCTGGCTCCCACGATGATCCATCCAGGAAGCGCTGCTCCTTCCGTCACTCCGGCCACTCCCTCACTCCTGCTGCTCAGCTCCGCCTCCTCACCGGTGATTGGCCGCCAGAACTGTAGCTCAGGAAAGGTACCCAGGCGGCCAATCACGGGCGAGGAGGCGGAGCCGAGCGGACCCGCGAAAATCGAGTGAGGGAAAAGCCGGTAAGTGTGCAGTGCAGAGGTGCTGCTGCAACCACATATGCTGGCTGCAGCAGCACCATACTGCAACAGGGGTCAGCAAGTGTCATTGGTGTCAGTGGGAGGAATAGTGCCGCATCATTGGTGTCACTGATACTAATGATGGGGTATTATTCCTCCCACTGACACCAACGATGGGGCACTATTCCTCCCACTGACACCAATGATGGGGCACTATTCCTCCCACTGATACTAATGATGGGGCATTATTCCTCCCACTGACACCAACGATGGGGCACTATTCCTCCCAGTGATACCAACGATGGGGCACTATTCCTCCCACTGACACCAATGATGGGGCACTATTCCTCCCACTGACACCAATGATGGGGCACTATTCCTCCCACTGATACCAATGATGGGGCACTATTCCTCCCACTGACACCAATGATGGGGCACTATTCCTCCCACTGATACCAATGATGGGGCACTATTCCTCCCACTGACACCAATGATGGGGTACTATTCCTCCCACTGATACCAACGATGGGGCACTATTCCTCCCACTGACACCAACAATGGGGCACTATTCCTCCCACTGATACCAATGATGGGGCACTATTCCTCCCACTGACACCAATGATGGAGCACTATTCCTCCCACTGACACCAATGATGGGGCACTATTCCTCCCACTGATACTAATGATGGGGCAACTATTCCTCCCACTTTATTTTTTACATTGACTAGTAGGTGCCTCATTTCCCACCCTCGGCTTATACTCGAGTCAATAGTTTTTCCCAGTTTTTTGTGGTAAAATTAGGTACCTCGGCTTATATTCGGGTCGGCTTATACTTGAGTATATACGGTATTCCTGGTGCATGGTTCAGGGCTATTGTCTTCATTAGACTTGTACTCCATTATAAGGGTGCTTTTGATTATAGATAAATAAGGTCTGTGATTGGAGGCGGTGAGAAGGCAGGTCTGCGATTGGAGGCGGTAAGAAGGCAGGTCTGTGATTGGCGGCGGTGAGAAGGCAGGTCTGTGATTGGTTGCCATTAGAAGCTTCCTAAACAGTTTGAACTATTAGGTTTTCTATAACTGGGACAGCAAAGAGTCTATGGTGGGTGTATTGTTGCAATACCTCTCCCGCTTTACAAATAGGTTAACCAAAATGGTTCCCATGTCATGAAATTAAAAAAAAAAAAAAAGGGGGGGGGCACTACAAGGATGCCTGGATGAAAAAGAACACCCTGAGCCAGTAGGATGTACATGCTATGTGCATTTCCCTTAACATTACAATTCATCTTTAGTTTTGAATGGAACATTCTTTTAAATGTTCTGTTAAAAATAAGATGATCAACAACCAAAAAGTACATTTAAATTACGTTTATTATATATTATAAAGAGATACACATAACAAAGAGACTCAGACAACCTCATGAGCAAATTTACCACGAATCAGATTGTGTTCTGATGACCAAACTCCATTTTATTTAAAGTGAACCCATAGGTTAATGTGCTACCAAAGAGCAGACACCACAAGATTCCGGCTGTTATCACGAACACTGAAACACTTCTTCCATGTAGCTCTTTAGTTTCACTCTGTTACTGGAGGCCTGTCTTCATCTAACTTCATGATTGAGCCCCAATAATTCTATTCCAATGTCCAATGAGACTGATTTAGTGGTCAGTGAAGGCACTCTGGTTGGACAGTGGAATGACAGTTGGTGAATATTTGCCAACAAGCCAAGCCCAGTAACAAAAGTCAAAGTACATCAGAGAGGGGCACAAAGAGATGCCTTTTACGACTAAAAAGATAATGTTGGGCATTTCGTGATGTCTGCTTTTTGGAGGGATATTTCATTTTAAAAGTATAAAACTGAGTAGGGTTCACTTTAAAGTGGAACTCCAGGCAAAATGTACAGAAAGAAAAAAATCATGCTTGTATTCCCTAATATATAAACCTGCTATTCATAACAGTCCCATCATTCCCAGGTAAGTTACCTGTTAATCCTGCCAGTGATGTGGTTATCCCTCCATTTCTTTTGTTACCACTGCTCATTTGCAGCAACGTCGGCTCTCTGATCTGTGTCTAACCATTCATCTCTGTGGTGAAACACTGCACATCCACCTTAGAGGCATTGTAGAGAGTGAGCGCCGTAAGGGTGGTATGTTAGGAGTATGGACTGCCCACCTTCTTAAACGGGAGCAAGGTATCACCAGTCACATGATCACTTAAGATAAAAAAAGGTACGTAGAAACAATATTTACTATATCACTATTGGAAAAAAAAAAAAAAAAACAAAGATTGCTGAAGATGGCTAATTGTATTGGACTGCATTAAATATGTGTCTTATTTTAGGCTTGCTTTATACTGTAACTCAGTATCAATCTCAATCTAGAAAATATTATTATTTGTCCACTATACTTTTCTGCAATGCTTTCATTTGTCCCACCAGAATAACACATCTACATCCCAATTCTATACTGTGTACATGATTATTTGGCAGTTGTTTGATCAAGCAGTTCCTGGTTTTATTCAGATACTGTGCAAAGGCTGCTGCAAAGTGCATGTCAGGGAAGAGAGGGGTTGCATTTGGTGAAGAGGGAGGAAAGGGATGACGTAATATGGCAAGAAATGAAGAGAACACTCCAATAGTGCCCCTCAAAGTCCCCAGGGACAGCTTCTTAGACTGGTTCCATCTGCAGCTCCTCAAAGTCCCCCTCAATCTCATGGAAAGATGCATGAGATCCGATGATGACAAGTGTGGCACCTGTGCAGACAATTCAAAGAGAGAGAGCAAGAGAGAACCTATTTTAATCGACACAAGGATACAAAATTTAAAGGCCGAGCTCAGAAAAGTAAAGATGTTAGGAGCTGTTTTTATGACCCATTTTTTATTCTTTAAAAAGGATAAGTTCAGCTTTTGCACAAAAATAATAAATGCACTTTTTTTTAAGGGTTTTTTGCAAAAAAAAGAGCATTTTTTATTTTGGTCTGCAGGAGCCTATAAAGCATTGCACTAGTGATCAATAGATCACTGGTGCCATGCAAGTGTCCTGAGGATCTGTCAGTATATCTGCTTGCCAATACAGGATGAACGAGCAAGCAGATATACTGACAGGAAGATTCAGTTAAATATCATGGTGCTCCACAGCGCTGTGGTAGTTCATTGAGAACTGCAAGCTGACAGTCGCTAAGACTGTTGGGACTTGTAGTGTATTCAATCATAGACCTCTGAATGAATGACACGTCCGTGTAGGCGGAGCCCTGCACAGCCATGCTGTTTTCAAATCCGACAGATAGTAGGGGGGAACTTCTCCCTGTACTTCTGTCAGAGGGAGGGGGGAGCAACGGGCAGCGACTGCAGCATTGTGAGCATGTTACATGTTCCACCCTAAAAATGGGTGAAACATGTAACATGTTCCCAAAGATGAACGTATCCTTTAAAGTGTATGTAAGGAAAATACCATTTTATAAAGCCACATACCTGAATAGAGGTTGCCCACGAAAATTTGAAAAGGCCTGAGGAAGCTAGACATCCACAGAAGCCACAAATAGATAGTCGTATCCCACTGCTAGTCACTGTATGGTCACCTGCTCTTATCTTCAGGAGTCTCCCTTGACTGAGTGCTAGGGGGTAGGGTCAGCTAGTCTGCTGCCTAGCTTCTGAAACCTATATCTGATGTTGTCATGTTGTACTGGAGGACCAAAACCTGTTTAGTGCATTTATGAAAGGTGAATCCCGTTAGCCATAATGAGTGCTTTGTTGCACGGGTCTGCCCACATTCAGTTAATATGGGGAGGAGGTTGCACGGAGAGAGGTAGGGGGACTGGGATTATATAACCTGTGTTTGTTTGTATAGGTTTTATTATTGATCCTATGTGACCACAACTGGGGCCATTTATGGCCTTTTTCACTTGGGTTTGTTTTCGTACTTAACTATAAAAGCGGAATAAAAGAATTAAAAAATAAAAAGTGTATGCCAGGGCAAACAAAAAAAAGGCAGTACATCTCTGCAATACATACACATCTCCCCCGCATTTTATTTCTTTAAAGGCCCTGCAAGTACAGAAAAATACTCGTTGATCTGCCAGAAATGCACTCAGATCTTAAGCTCTAAGAAATAGTGCAGTGCTTAAATTAATAGTCCTCAGTAATTCCCGATCAGTGGATGTTCCTCAATTTAGAATGGAAGAAATGCCCACTCACCGGAACTACACTAGGTACAGTGCAGTGTATGAATATTATTCCCTGGTGTCACTGGAAGTGTACATCTGGTTCAGCACTTCTTCCAAGAAGTCTTCCAAGTGCTGAACCAGATGTACACTTCCAGTGACACCAGGGAATAATATTCATACACTGCACTGTACCAAGTGTAGTTCCGGTGAGTGGGCATTTCTTCCATTCTGCATGCAAATATACGGCCTCTAGGCGTCTGGGCCTTGACGCCGAGCGGCCGCATATTTTTGTGCCATTAGAAAATACATATGTGCTGAGAACTCGTGTTCTGCGCACTCCCAGCACACATGTCCGTGAAAGGTCCCCTTGCAATCTGGACCTTTTCTGATCATGTGACCGCCATGACAGCAAATCAAGGTGGTCACATGACCCTAAAACCCCAATCGCTTCCCTGCTTCTGAAACTGTTAAAGGGCCGTTAAAGGGGTTAAAGTGTATATAAACCTTTATTAGAAAATGTAAGGATTACTTTCCACTGTCCTTCAAAATTAACATACTACTGTATGTCGATAAGGAGTAGAAACATTAAAACCCAGTAATCCTGTCCGTCCCCTTGTATATGAAGCCTTTCCTGTTTGCTCCTGACCCCACTAAGCATGGAAGCAGTTCCATGCTAGGGTGGCCAGTTTCTCTGCTTCCTCTATGGGACATACAGGACATTGTGCTCAGAAACCTTCCTGATTGCTTCCTAATTGTTAGTGGGAACCCAAGCTGTCACACACAATGTTGGCTGCTGGCTTTCAAAAGTGGCACCTTTATTAACATATCTCCAACAAGGGACCTCATGCTAGGAAATGTTAATAAAGACCGTGAGAAAGGATCAACTTAGAAATATAAGAGGTGCCATTGCTGAAATGTATTTAAAGGACAAGACTTCAGGGATATCAACATTACCACTCAAGGGTCACCAACCTAGAACATGGCATGCAGTATAGGGTAAGGGCATAAATTCACGTACTTGTTCTTGGTTATTCATTAATTAAAGTGATTCTAAATGTTCATAAAAAAAAAAAAAAAACATATATTATTTTTTACAAAAAAATATTATATACTTAAAGTCCATGCAATATACCTATTGGTGTTAACAACCAATAGGTGTATTGCATGGACTTTGTGTTGATAGGACGTTATTGATCGCGACTGTTAATCACCATTCACTATTGGTAGGGGTAGAAGCATTGTTTAGGAAGAGGGTTGAATATAGGGAGTTGCACTGCACTCTCTTATGAGTATCTAATGAGAGTGAGGTGAGATTCACTTTATCTGTCTTCAGCAAGGAACAAGGGGGTGGGCTTGTTTTATACTGTTTTCATACTATTTTATTTGATTTTTATACATAACTTTTGCCACGTATTGCGCTGATTGAATACGGCTGGATATTACATACTTACCTGCTCTGTGCAGTGGTCTTGCACAGAGCCGCACTGATCCGCCTCTTCTCGGGTCCCCCACTGGAGCTCTTGACCCCTGCCCCCGCCAAGTGCCCACCATAGCAAGCTGCTTGCTCTAGGGGCACTTCTGCGGGCTCACTCCCGAGCCACCTCTGCTCTCTAAAGGTTTTTTTTTTAACTTCTGCCTTTACAACCACTTTAAGTAGTAGCAAGAATGAGAATGGCAGTCTGGGAGATCCTTGCAAGACTTATTCAATAATGGCAGCTCCCATATTACCATTTAAAAAAAAACTTAAGAGAATTGTCATGAGACATATATGTACGGTTGCAATTGTTGAGCTCATTTTGGAAAAGTCACATGACTAGCTGATATAGTAATCCTCTGGCTTCAAAATTTCAGAGTGATTAAGTTGACAACTATGCAGTAACTTTATGTGAAACATATTTGTTTCAAGTTGGTGACCCAAGGAAATGAAGACAGGTTCACTTTGATCCCAAAAGCCTAAAGCTCAACAAATATAGGCAAATTTGCCATTATCTTTGTTAGCCTTAAAAACCTATGTGCACCTCTCTGAAATAGATTAGACTTTCCCTGTCTACCCAGCATGTAAGACATAATGACTTAACAGAGGAGAAGCAATTGGCTTGGTCCTGAAGTCAGGCACCTAGCTTCAAAGAGGAACATAGAGGAGTCTTTTATGGCTAACAAAGGGAACACCAGATGCCTTATTTCTCCTCTAGGACAATGATAATAATCAATGAGAGCCAGAAGATAGCACTAGTTCTTACCCAGCACCCAGAAAACCGCAGCTCCGGCACCAGCGAGCCAGAAGAAGGGGAAAGAGACAGCCCCAGCCAAGCCATACTGATTGGCCATACTCAATTCCCGACCTGTAATGAAAGGATAGTTACTGCAGGTCCTCTAAGTCTAGAGCAAAATGATATATATATGAAAAGCTAATAAATTCTACATACACTTTGTTTAGAAATGTCCAATATTTACAGGGCAAGGGTGTCCACTGTGTAGCCATACACAAACCAGAAGTCCTTTTCTTTTAAAGGGATTCTAAACTTTTTTAAAAAGAGACCCTTTCCTTTGCCCATGCAGGGCAAAGTAAAAGGGTCAGCTGCCTCCATCCTCACTCTCACAATGCTATGTGCGGCCATGGGGACCATGGAAAGAAAACCCTTTGTAAGTTCCAAACTGACTTGTGGATGCTTACAAAAGATTCCTTTATTGCCTCCATGTGAGAGCTCTGAATCTAACACAAAGCACCTGTACTGTTACATGGGAGAGAGGGAAAATGCCACAAACGTACTCATACCCAGAAGTGTAGGAAAATAACATAAAACTGGGATGCCTCACAAGAAAAATTAGATTCAGATAAAAAGGAGGAAATCTCAAAAATTACATAATAATAGTATTGCTGACTCACCAGGTCCAGCGGTGGTGTCCTCAGAACCGTATAGCATACAATAAGAAAAAAACAAAACCAGGGGAAAGAGAATCCACTGGCATAGAGGATGGGAGAATCTGGCAGTATTGAGTGACCCTTCACCCCTTATTGAGGAGCCACTTTATATAATTCTATCATTGGATAATTCCTTTCTAGTCAACATCATTCATTGATATGAACGACACTCATATGATGTGTCAGATGTATACTGTTAGACTTCCTATACATACCATCATCAACTATCTGCATCATACCAGCTCTACCTATGCCCTGCTAATTAACCACTTGCCTACCAGGCACTTATACCCCCTTATTTACCAGGCCAATTTTCAGCTTTCAGCGCTGCCGCACTTTGAATGACAATTGCGCGGTCATGCAACATTGTACCCATATGAAATTTTGAGAATTTTTTTCTCACAAATAGAGCTTTCTTTTGGTGGTATTTAATCGCCACTGGGCGCTTTACTTTTTGCGCTATAAATAAAAAAAGTGCAAAAAATTAAAAAAAAAAAAAAAAAGTTTCTTTGTTTCTATTATAAAATTTTTCAAACAGGTATTTTTTCTCCTTCACTGATGTGCGTTGATGAGGCAGCACTGATGGGCACTGATAGGCGGCACTAAAGGGCACTGATAGGCAGTACTAATGAGGTGGCACGGATAGGCGGCACTGATAGACAGCACTAATGAGGCGTCACGGATAGGCGGCACTAATATGCAGCACTGATAGGCGGCACTGATAGGTAACACTGATGATGGGTACTGATAGACGGCACTGACTGGCATCACTGCTGGGCACTGACTGGCGTCACTGACTGGCACAACCCCTGGGCACTGACTGGTGGCACTGACTGGCAGCACTGCTGGGCTGCACTGGTGGGTGGCACTGGTGGGCAGCACTGGTGGGTGGGCACAGGTGGGTGGCACTTGTGGGCACAGGTGGGTGGCACTGCTGGGCACAGGTGGGTGGTGGGCACAGGTGGTGCACTGCTGGGCACAGGTGGGTGATCTGCTGGGCACAGGTGGGTGCACTGCGGAGCACAGAGTGGGGCGCACTACTGGGCACAGGTGGGCGGAACTTGCGGGTGGCACTGCTGGGCACCGATCATCAGGGCACTGATCATCAGTGCCCTGATGATCGGTGCCGATCCCCGCTCTGACAACTGCCGATTCTCGGCAGTACTTTCCTCACGATCTGACAGCGTGAGGAAAGTGCAGCCGAGAACCGGCACTTGCATTTCCCTCATTGGACACCGCTGATCACGTGGTAAAAGGCTGCTGTGATTGGCCTTTTACCACGTCACGTGATCAGCTGTGTCTGTAGGACACAGCGATCACGGAGATCGCCGGGTGCGCGCCCCCTGGGGCGCGCAGGAGAGCGCGTTCTGGGAGGACGTCATATGACGTCCACTCAGAACTGGCCGGCCGCAGTGCAGCCGTCATTCGGCTATCTGCGGTCGGCAGGTAGTTAATTGCCAATTGTTGCAGTGATCGCCAAATATAGTCAATCACTGCTTCTCCATACAATTGATACAGCACCAACAATGGTAAATACTCTGTATATCCAGATAAGGTGGTGCAGCGCTAAATGATAGTACACGATTAATACACACAATATGCCAATTCAAACTTATGCGAATACGTGATGTCACTCAGAAGGTGATCAATAAATATTTACAAATATAAATAGCACCAATACAGATGTCCAGTTTGCAAGCCCTTATCCCTATGATTACGTGCATCGCACGGAAACGCGTGAGAGGGGCAGCAGCAACAGGACATCTAACCACCGCAGGTGGACACCCTGGAATCTATGGTCAGTAACGTTTGGAAATCTTTTTATGTATTATACACCAACCAACCCTGAATAAAGGTACCTTAACCCCTTCACGCCTAAGGGTAAAACAAATCTAAATGCCTAAGCACAATTCTGCAACGTTGACGTGTTAGTAAAACCGTACATATCGTCACAACTACTTTGTACATCCAGGTGGATTATACCTTGTTTTTTTCAGGACAAATTGGGCTTTCATTTGGTGGTAAATGGTCATGGATAGCTCCTAATTTTTTTTTTATTATTAAAGGAAAACTGGGCCAAAATAGTAAAAAAAAAATCATTTTTTTAAATTTAACTGTGTGTTTCTTGTTACGACCATAACCTACCACCAAAGAACAACTCAAAATACATTCTCCAGTTCTTGACGATCGCAGCGATACCATATATGTGTATGTTATTTGTTGTTTGTACCCGTAGTACAGTCCAGAAACAACAGTGCGCATTTTGTTTTTGTCTTTTTTTTTTTTATATAAAACACACTGTCACTGACATTGACATTAACACTAACTGACACTGATACCAATTTTTTTTTTTAAATCCTGACCTTTGACCCTGACCTTTGCCCTTGACCCTGACCCCTGACCTTTGACCCTGACCTTGACCCAAACCTGGTACTGAACTAGATCAAACCTTGATCTAGTATTTTTCTTTATTTTTTCTTTTATTTTTTAATATTTATTTATTTTTATTTTTTTTTTACAAACTTTTTTTTCTCTCTCTGTGTCAGGAGTTCGAGAGATACAATGTATCTCTCTTCTCCATTCATAGAGAGAGAGAAAACAAGGGGGCCGGGCTGCACAGTGATTGATCACTGTGATAGCCAATCAGAGGCTATCACAGCGATCACGTGACCCGGAATCGGGAGTCCCGGGTCCCGATCGTTAGAACGGGACCCGGGGCTCTCAGTGACACCGCGGTCTTGGTGCTGGGAGCGCGCCGAGCGGCGCGCTCCCAGCACAAAGACAGGTACGCAAATATGCGGCCCCACGGAAAAAAGCCCAGGTTCATGAGGCCGCATATTTGTGTTACGTCGGCGTCAAGGGGTTAAGCAGTATCACGCTATGTGGTCTCTCATTGGGCACTCTGTGTGAGTGCTATCATTCGCAGTGCCCATCTGGAGGAATCATGACCCTGGTGGTGATACCTGGTAGCAGTTTCTGGTGACCTTGTCTCTGTGGAACCTGGATGGTGATCCGTGGGTAACCCGATCCGAGATCTGATGACCGATCTATGGCCTGGTGTAGCAGGATTATATATTGCGTATTTTAAATGCACATCTGGTGAGTGCGTTTTTCACCCATTTGTGTGGTTTGCACCAATTATCACTCCCGGATCAGGACGTCCACTCACCTGGAATTGTGATCTCTCTATGATCCACACCATCACATTGAACTTTTTAAAATATTTATTGATCACCTTCTGAGTGACATCACGTATTCGCATAAGTTTGAATTAGCATATTGTGTGTATTAATCGTGTACTATCATTTAGCGCTGCACCACCTTATCTGGATATACATGTATTATTAGAGGTTTTTCTTGGTTACCTTTTTCGGTGTATCAGCTGCTTATTGACATTGTTGTGTATACATATATATATATACACTTTCATTTCTGTTTTAAGGTAGCGCTCACTAAACACTCTTTACTACAATGGTAAATACTCTACCTCTGCATGAGGACATTTTCAAGATGGAAGAATTTGGCAGTATTGAGTGACCCTTCAGCCTTAATTGGGGAGCCACCTCATATCAGTCCAATATTGGATAATTCCTTTATAGTCAACATCATTCACTGATATGAACTCTTAGAGATTCTATTAGCCTATATCTCTATCTAGTGTTATTGCGGTGTATGGATACTGCTGTACCTGTTGTTTCCATATTCTGCTTCATCTTGTCAACTCACTTTCTATTTTTTTTACCTTATCCCTGTTTTCTCATCTGCATTGCTCTATTTATACTCTTTGAGCTCATTATTCTACATTTTGTAGATTGACTTTTTTGTGTGTGAATGTGTGCATGTCAGTGGAGCCGGGATCCCGGAACGTGGGTTGTCTTTTGCTTGACAGCGTTGTCATTTTATTTCATTTGTCTATGCCTCCTAATTGTAAGCCCTCAGAAAGGGGGGGGGGGGGGAACCCCTCGTTAAATGATTGTAAGCTCGAAAGAGCAGGGCCCTCGAACCCCTCGTGTATTTGTATTGTTACTGTCTTGTCTCATGTTCTGTCCCCCTTGCTACTGCACAGCTCTGAGCAACCCTTTGGCGCTATATAAATACTGTATAATAATAATAATATGTTAGGTGGAGGTTGTCTGCTTTTGATTTGTGTTAGTTTGACTTTGTTAATAAATTTAATTTTTTCTAGCCGCAGTTTGTTCTTATTAGGACCTCTATGTCAGTGGATTCTCTTTCCCCTGGTTTGGTTCTTTTCTTATTTCATACCCAGAAGTGCCAGGGATTTCATTACAGATGATGTATGCCAAAAAACGACAATGAATGCAGACCAATCAAGGGACAAGAATGAGCACATTGCCTGCTTTTCTACAAACACACCACTAGAGGGCTCATACTCAAAATCAAATAATCAAAATCCATTGTCTGTTATACAGATGGACACCAGAGTACAATTATGCAGGCCATAGACGGGTCAAACAGCGGCCGATTTTTTGAACGATAAACAAAAGAATCAGTCGTTCGTTCGACGTTACCACCAACGATGAAAAAAAATCGGCCGACTAAATCATAAAGTTCACCCCATAACTTCTGTCCCTTGCAGGTCACGGCTCATGCGCCGATTTTTTATCGTTAAAACGATTGGCTGATTTGACCATCATTGCCGGGAAAATCAGCCGATCGTCCAAATCGGCTGCGAATTTTCCAACATGACCGATAAAGTGCAAAAAAACTGAAAAATGGCCAACCATTTAACGCACTAACAATGCGAAAATAGGACAGTTTTTTTTTTTTTTTTCCGCCCGATTTACGAACCGTCTATGGCCGGCATTAGATTACAGAGTGTGTGGTCAGATGCAGAGAAACAGCAACCAACAATTCTTTCATGAACCACCGCCCCTTCCATACAAATCAAGAAAAAACAAACAAACAATCTCTTCTGTGTTGGCAACTGACAAAATAGGTGTCCAGTTATAAAGCAATCGTATTGTCTTACTATGGCTACAGTGCTGCCTTGTGCACACAACATCGTCTCTGCATTTTATAAATAATCTGTAAAATGCAGGTACATGTGGGATAATTACTGTGTTGGCAGATAACTGTATTCACTGTCCTGGGTGACTATAGTGTACTGTAATGGAAAGAAAAAGTCCTGTACAAAATCCTGGGCAGGATTGGAGTATAATTATTTTATCAGCTTATAAATGATGTGCACGCTGCTGGCATCCCGATCATATCTAACAGATCTGCTATGGAAGACACAGCACAACTTACCAAACAGAACCATTTTGGACTGGAGGGTTTTCAGGTAAACAATGTAACAGGCTCCAAAGAAAACAGCCAGGGCAATAAGCAGCATTGGGCTGGTGATGCTGTGAATGAGAGAAGAAAGTTGTTTACTTGGGGCCCTAATGATGTTCTGGCCTTGGGTTGCAGTGGTAAGATCACTTCTGCTGAAGTTCCTCCCTCCTGCCTGTAAAATGGAGAAAGACTCCTCCTGCAGTAACTTCTATAATGTATAACACAGTAAAAATCCAAAAGGAAGAACGAAACTTACGTCTGTAAAGTGTGGTCACGTCATGGAGCTGAGAAGCATTTATCTCTTAGATTGTAAGCTCCAAGGAGCAGGGCCCTCCTAACCCTCTTGTATTGAACTGTATTGTTGCTGTATTGTCTCCCTTTATATTGTAAAGCGCTGAGCAAACTGTTGGCGCTATATAAATCCTGTATAATAATAATCTGATCTCTGGTATTCCAGAAATATAACATTGATGTAAGAGGAAAGTGATGTGAACTGATATTAAAAAGTTTATTTATATTTATAAAATAAAAATGATGGTATACTTGCATAGAGCAGCCACTTACCTCCTCTTCTGGAGTCCCTCGCTGGTACTGTCCACTCCTTTTTGCTGTAGGAGTCCCGAATAGCAAGCTGTGTGCTATGGGGGCACCCATGTGGACGAGCTCCTGTGCTGGACTGTGTGTCCATGGACTCACCCAGCGTGGCTTGGCCACCCCCCCCCCGCTCCCTCCTTACAAAATTCGACTGACAGCAGCAGGAGCCTATTTCTCCTGCTGCTCTCAGAGACTCCTGTGAGACCAGGAAGAGAAAGCAGAGACACTGCAGCCAGGGACAGAGCTGGATTGTGAGAGGACACAGGTAAGTTTTTAGGCATGTGGGGGTGAACAGGTATTGGAAGGTTTTTTACCTTCATGCAGAGAATGCATGAAGGTAAAAAAAAAAAAAAAAACCTTTAGAACCAGTTTGCGCAGCACTTTACAAAATGAAGGTAGACCTTTCAGTTACAATACAATTTGGTATAAGAGGAAACAGAGGGCCCTGCTGGTTATATAAATATTTTTTTTTTTTTTTTTGCGTGGACGGCGGCCTTAAAGAGAAGCTGTCACTGTCCACATGCAACATAAAATGATAGTGTCTCTGCAAGCTCTGAAATAGGGAGCTTACACAAGAATTAGACTCAAGACTCCAACAGACAACAGTGTGAGTAGGAATAGCATGGGGAAGGTATTAGCTATTTAAAGCGGAGTTCCAGCTGAAGAAAAAAAATAAAATAAAAAGTCAGTAGCTACAAAAACTGTAGCTGCTGACTTTTAAAATACAGCCACTCACCTGTCCCTCAGTCCAGTGGTGCCCCCACCACCACTCCTGGTTTCACTGGCCGTCTTCTCTCCCTGGCACCGGCATCTTTAGCGCAGGCACCCGGCTGTGACAGCTTGCGCCTAGGCGATCGCAGCGGAAGTGGGAGCAGGTACCTGCCAAATTTGGGTACCCGCTCCCCAAAGGTGCCAATCCTTAATGGGGAGCAGGGGACAAAGCATTAAAGCGGAACTTCCCTTTTTGGGTGGAACGCAGCTTTAGCTAGGAAGGTGGAGCATATGTCAAAAGAACCTGTCACTTTGGGCAAAATGTCAGATTCTTTTTAGAGTCTCAAACACTCAGCAGGCATCGGACGTTTGACCAGTGGCTGTAGACAGTGCAATACAGGCTGCACAATCATATGAATGAGACACCAGAGGTTTCATATAAATGCTCTAAATACCATGCAAGATAATGCTCAGAAACTATAAATAAATATATATTAGACTGCAAATGAATCCATGAATTAGTGATAAATCCTTCAAGGTACTAAATACGTGACACATCAAGTGATAATGTGCAAAACCTGGTCCAAAATTTGGACCTATATTAAAGTGCAAATAAACACACACACAATCCCAAACAGGGATAAATAAAGTGATACAGTGAGTACCAAACAATGGAATTGCTGAAAGTGACTAGCACTATTACCTCCCAATAAAAAAACTGGTAAATACGTATATAAATAATTGTGCATTTTTGCACTGATTTTTCTGCACATATTTTTTGCACATTTTTTGGACTTTATTGATTGCTAGTTATTTTTTTCATATGTATCTATCAGTTTTTTTAGATATTGTGGGAGGTAGTAGCACCAGTCACTTTCAGTAAGTTCATTGATTGGTACTCACTATATCACTTTATTTATCCCTATTTTGGGATTGTGTGTGTTTTTTTTGCACTTTAATATAGGTCCAAATTTGGGACCAGGTTTTGCACATTATTACTTGATGTGTTTATTTCAGGGTGGATTTGATTTAAATCAAACTGATTTAAATCACGATTTAAATCACTAGTCAGTAAGGCTTGATTTAAATCCTAGTTTTCTACACAAAGACTAATTCTTGCTGGTATAACTTTAATATGCAAGTAGATGAAGATTTTTAGAATAACTTTTCATATTAGTTTTTTTATCCCCAGTTTAATAGGTTAATCATTCATATTTGGACAACTTTTCTGTTGTACTTAGGAAGGAGAAAAATAATCATTACCTTAATAATAACAATTTAAATAGATTTATTCAACTGAAACAATAACATTCCAGCATATGTGATTGGCTTAAACATCCATGTTTGGTAACTAATTTGGCTAAACAAAATATATATATTTTAAGTAACTTAGACTGTCAGCCCCTTCCCCTCACACTTAGTTTCACTTTCTTCTTGTGCAGATCTATTCCACTCCAAACAATCAGAAAAATATTGTTTCTATTCTATTCACTGAACTTCTTGAAACTTAGCACTGAAGGGGTTGATTCTGTATTCATAGGTTTGTAGAAGTTAGGATTAAGGTCTTTTTCTTAACTCTGTTCATGTTATAACATTTTTGCTGTGAAGAAGAGGCATGTGATCTCCGCTGAGTCAAATTCAGTTTTTGAGAACTGCAAAAGTAAACCAAACATCTGTGATAATATTTTGTAGGCAGAGAAACTGCCCAATAATCTTACAGAAACCTCTGGAAGAGCATGACATTGTGAATGGATTCATGGAATTTATTTACCAAAAATTTAAACATATACAGCCTTATTCTACATAATTAAAAAAACTAATCTTTATTTCATGATGGAATAACCTTTGGATGGTAATATATTTTCCTCAAAAAGCATTTTATTCAAAAAAATCCGATTTAAATAAAAAAAATCCGATTTTTTTGATTTTTTTTGAAAAAAATCATTGATTTTTATCCACCCTGGTTTATTTCATACGTATTTACCAGTTTTTTTATTGGGAGGTAATAGCACTAGTCACTTTCAGCGATTCCATCGTTTGGTACTCACTGTATCACTTTACTTATCCCTATTTGGGATTGTGTGTGTGTTTATTTGCACTTTAATATAGGTCCAAATTTGGGACCAGGTTTTGCACATTATCACTTGATGTGTCACGTATTTAGTACCTTGAAGGATTTATCACTAATTCACAGATTAATTTGCAGTCTAATATATATTTATTTATTGATATATTTAATTATATCTGTTGCGCGCAGGAGGATTTTATCCTATTTTCAATGCTCAGAAACTCACATGCAGTAAAGGATGAGGCCCAGGAAAATGAAGATGTAATTGCTCTGGAAGTGTTCCACATTCCGCGTCACCCGCTTACACAGCTCACCAAAGTTCTGCGGCCGGGAGAAGCGTCTCTGGTCGACAAAGTTGTTCCATGGGCGGATGTGAGCCCGACGTCTGTCGAACCAGTCCTTGGCTGTGCTCGGACTGATCATCTTGGGAAATATCCTGCCAAAGGAACAGCAAGAAGCGAATAAGAGGACAAGAATATCATCTGGCTGACTGGATGTACCTTTAAAGCCACATTCATAGGTGGCTCAGAGATCACACACATTCTTGCAAAAAAAAACATTAAATACAACTTTATTAATAAGAAATTACAGAGGATTATGTCAGAAGTCATTTTGGCCACTACTGGACTGATGATCAATAAAATGATGTGAATGATTAATTTAAATGAATAATGATAAGTCATTCAGTGAGCCTACTTGTTAATAATTCCAGGAGGTCCCTCTTCTGCTCCTCCATTTAAAACTTCCCCATTCTTGCCTGCCATGTTTAGGTGTTCTGGCAATACTGAGCCTCCTGTGAGAGGAATAAAGAAAAACACAGAGCTGAACTCCAGGCAAATAGCTAACAAAGCAGATGAAATACATACATTTGCATTTTTGTCTATTCAGTCCTGAGATTTACACAGCTCTGCCACACAACACTAACATGACTGACACCAATTATAGCTACTAGGAGAAATACTGGAATGTTCTTCCTCCACATTCATGCTGACTGAATAATGAAGGTGCGGCAGCAGACCGATGAGGTCATCTTTCTGCTCTTTCCTCCTATAAGAATGCTCTTGCCAGCATGCATGCAGCACAAGTGTCTGGCTCCCAATTTTGTCTCTCTCCCGCTCAGCAAAAGTACAGTAGAAGTCTGATACCAGGTCAGATCCACGTACCTATACTACTTTCATTTAATGATGTATAAAATAATACAAAGCTATATTTATTTTTTGTATATGTTTGCCTGGAGTTCAGCTTTAAGTCAGCCTATGTGATGAAACTTGCATCTTCTAGCAACTAGATCAGCCTTTGTCAAATGTTCTATTTTACCATGGAGGAACCCTTGAAATAATATTCAGGTCTCAGGGGACCCCTTCTAAAATAAATTATATAAGCTCATAGTACTTTAGCCAACCCAAATTTGTTGGTAAATGAGAGAAGGGTTTCCTTTTAGTGATGGTCAGTGGAAAGAGAATCCTGTCACACTGGTAGTCTGCAAGAAAAATGCCAATGAAAACAGTGGTCAGTGTAAGGTCCTCATACATTGGAGAAAAGTGGGAAGAATACTCACATGCAAACATTGGTGTACACCTAATATAAGGACCATTCTTCCTACTAACCACCAATGTAAGGATCATTCTTCCCATTGACACCTAATATAAGGACCATTCTTCCTACTAACCACCAATGTAAGGATCATTCTTCCCATTGACACCTAATATAAGGACCATTCTTCCTACTAACCACCAATGTAAGGATCATTCTTCCCACTGACACCTAATATAAGGACCATTCTTCCTACTAACCACCAATGTAAGGATCATTCTTCCCATTGACACCTAACATAAGGACCATTCTTCCTACTAACCACCAATGTAAGAAGCATCCCAGTGAGATCTAATTTAATGACCACTTATCCCAGTGACCACCAATGTAAGGACCATTCTTCCCAGTGACCACCAATGTAATGAATTACAAGGTTGGAGGTGTTGCCATAGGGTAGTGCTATGGAAACCAGAATATAATTACTTGTGCCACGTCCCAAAATTAATTTTTTGGGACCATGAAAGGTATATTAAAAATATAGAAATATGAGAATAATATTATAGCAGTAATTAGAATTATATGTAGCTCATGTAAATGTAAAAATAAAAGCATAAGTGTGTATATAATTACCACACTTAAATAGTTGAAGACTCACAGAAATAAAATTGATTCCGGTTGATAACAGAGACACAGGTATCACCAAATACACTACATTGCCAAAAGTATTGGTCGGCCGGCTTTATACACACATGAACTTTAATGGCATCCCAGTCTTAGTCCGTAGGGTTCAATATGGAGTTGGCCCCGCCCTTTGCAGCCATAACAGCTTCAACTCTTCTGGGAAGGCCGTCCACAAGATTTAGGAGGGTGTCTATGGGAAGGTTTGACCATTCTTCCAGAAGCACATTTGTGAGGTCAGGCACTGATGTCGGGGGAGGAGGCCTGGCTCACAGTCTCCGCTCTAATTCATCCCAAAGGTGTTCTATCGGGTTGAGGTCAGGACTCTGTGCAGGCCAGTCAAGTTCCTCCACCCCAAACTCACTCATTCATGTCTTTATGGACCTTGCTTTGTGCACTGGTGAGCAGTCATGTTGGAACAGGAAGAGGCCATCCCCTAAACTGTTATCACAAAGCCGGGGGCATGAAACTGTCCAAAATATCCTGGTATGCTGACGCCTTAAGAGTTCCCTTCACTGGAACTAAGGGGCCAAGCCCAACCCCTGAAAAACAACCCGACACCATAATCCCCCCCCTCCACCAAACTTTACACTTGGCACAATGCTGTCAGGCAAGTACCGTTCTCCTGGCAACCAGATTGCCAGACAGAGAAGCGTGATTCATCACTCCAGAGAACATGTCTCCACTGCTCTAGAGTCCAGTGGCGGCGTGCTTTACACTACTGCATCCGACGCTTTGCATTGCACTTGATAATGTAAAGCTTGCATGCAACTGCTCGGCCATGGAAACCCATTCCATGAAGCTCTCTATACACTGTTGTTGTGCTAATCTGAAGGCCACATGAAGTTTGGAGGTATTTAGCTACTGACTCTGCAGTTGGCGACTTCTGCACATTGTGCGCTTCAGCATGCGCGGACCCCGCTCTGTCATTTTACGTGGCCTACCATTTCATTGCTGAGTTGCTGTTGTTCCCAGTTGCTTCCACTGTGTTATAATACCACTAACAGTTGGCCGTGGAATATTTAGTAGCCAGGAAATGTCACGGATGGACCTATTGCACAGGTGGCAACCTATCACGGGACCACGCTTGGATTCACTGAGCTCCTGAGAGCGACCTATTCTTTCACAAATGTTTGTAGAAGCAGTCTGCATGCCTAGGTGCTTGATTTTATACACCTGTGGCCATGGAGGTGGTTGTAACACCAATGATTTAGAGGACTATCCCAATACTTTTGGCAATATAGTGTATATATCGTACAGCCAAAAGGATAAAAAGGAATAACCACGGCCAGCAGAGAAACCCACCTCCTGGGTGACCGCGCCCCTTTGTTTACTTTAGCGGCAGAATGAATGACAGCTCCTTTTTGGAGCTATAGTGAAGAAAAAAAGAAGCCGGTAATTGCATTTAAAACTTTAGTGACTGCAAGTGAGGGAGCCTGTCTGTATACACTGCTTACCTGTTCTCCTGCCTCTCCTCCGCCCGACCCCCCCCCCCCATTTGCAGTACTCACAGCCTGCCCCCCCCCCCCCCTCTAAAAACCCCGCCAAATAGACAGTCCACTCTCACTGGGGCCGGTCATTATCAGCACCTGTATTTGCTCACTTTTTCCTTTCGGCAAAATGGAAATTTTCAGTTGTTGTTTCAGCCGCTGAAAATTTGGTGCATTCCTAATAATGAATTTAATTCGCTGTATACCATACGCACAATACATCCGAATATGATGTAATTGCATGCAGTTGTGTGACTTTAAGGCACAGGCTGCGCAACTGTGTTAATGATTATTACACAAAGGTTATGGTAAATCCCTGTTACGTAGGGCATATAAATCAACCCCTAGGCAAAACAAGAACATCTCTACTATATCAGGTTTGTACACCTAAAGCTCATCAATCTACTGTCAAATTTATTACTGAAATACTCATAGTTAATCTGGCTGAAAAAAGACAAAAGTCCATCCAGTTCAACCATAGAAAAAAAAAAAGTTCTAATCCTATACCCACAGTTGATCCAAAGGAAGGCAAAAAAAACAGCAAAGCATGATCCAATTTGCTCCTGCAGGGAAAAAAAATCCTTCCTGATCCCCCGAGAGACAATCGGATATTCCCTGGATCTACTTTACCTATAAATGTTATATCCAGTTATATTCTGTGTATCTAGGAAAGAATCCAGGACTTTTTTTTTAAAGCAATCCACTGAGCTGGCCAGAGCCAACTCTTGAGGGAGTCTATTCCACATTTTCACAGCTCTCACTGTGAAGAAACATTTCCATGTTTGGAGATTAAATTTCTTTTCCTCCAGAAGTAAAGAGTGCCCCCTTGTCCTCTGTGATGACCTCAGGGTGATTAGCTCTACACCAAGTTCACTATATGAACCACTGATGTATTTATACATGGAGATCATATCCCCCCTTATGTATTATACATGGAGATCATATCCCCCCTTATGTATTATACATGGAGATCATATCCCCCCTTATGTATTATACATGGAGATCATATCCCCCCTTATGTGTTATACATGGAGATCATATCCCCCCCTTATGTATTATACATGGAGATCATATCCCCCCTTATGTATTATACATGGTGATCATATCCCCCCTTATGTATTATACATGGAGATCATATCCCCCCTTATGTATTATACATGGAGATCATATCCCCCCCTTATGTATTCTACATGGAGATCATATCCCCCCTTATGTATTATACATGGAGATCATATCCCCCCTTATGTATTATACATGTTGATCATATCCCCCCTTAATCTCCTCTTCTCAAGAGAGAATAAATTCAGTTCCTCTAAGCTTTCCTCATAGCTGATCTCCTCCATGCCTCATCAGTTTAGTTGCCCTTCTCTTTACTTTCTCCAGTTCCCCAATGTTCTTTTTGTGAATTGATGCCCAAAACTGAACTGCATATTCCAGATGAGGTCTTACTAATGATTTGTACCGGGGGAAATGATATCTCTCTCTCTGGAGTCTATACCTCTTTTAATACAAGAGAGGATTTTGCTTGCTTTAGAAACCGCAGCTTGGCATTGCATGCCATTATTAAGCTTGTGATCTACCAGAACTCCCAGATCCTTCTCCACCATTGACCCCCCCCCCCCCCCCCCCCCCCCAGTATGTATGATGCATGCATATTCTTAGCCCCCAAGTGCAGAACCTTACATTTATCAACATTAAACCTCATTTGCCACATAGTTGCCCAATTACACAGTGTATTGAGGTCGGCTTGTAAATTGGAGACATCCTGTAAGGACGTTATTCCACTGCACAGCTTGGTGTCATCTGCAAAGACTGAAAAGGGATTTTTAGTCCCAGATCCTATATTGTTTATAAATATATTAAAAAGTAAGGGTCCCAACACTGAACCTTGGGGTACACCACTGACACCCCTAGACCATTCAGAGTATGAATCATTAACCACTACTCTTTGAATATGATCTTTTATCCAGTTTTCTATCCATTTACATACAGATTTTTTTCAAGCCCATAGACTTTACCTTACACATTAGCCGTGTGTGGGGAACTCGGCCCAGCATTTACAA